AATATACTTCGGTTCTTGCCTGGAGGTATTGGTGATCCCCTGCTACTAGACACGGAAGCCTGTTAAGCGAAAGCTTCTTCTATTCCGTCCGCAACCATTTGAACCATTTAATTCAAAACTTGATATGAGAAACGGAATCCTAGACGTAAATGGCTAGACCCCGCTTTTCTTAGAAAATCCTCTCAGCTTATCAGTGAAGGGAGAGGATAAAACATATTATTACAAAGATCAACCTTCAGTATACGGTATGCTAGTCTTTAAATATTTAGTCATTTGCAACCAGTAAAAACAGATGATTTTGCTACTGTTGATAAGTCATCCGCATGAACTAAAAAAGGGACCTAGGACTGAACCTTTGTGAATATTGTATCCTACGGAGTCTCACACTGATAGGGCCCCTCGTATCAGTACTTGTTTCCCCCTATTATTGAGAGTCACTCATCGAATTTACGATTCCACAATGGATCCCAAAAATTTCCAGTTATAATTTAAAACCCAGGTGAGAGAAATCCTTAAAGGCTTTACATAGATCTATGAAAATTCCAAGTATCGGAATATTTTTATCTTTCACTGCAGCTCAATTTCCACTAACAGTAAGAAGATTTATCAAGTAGGACAGGCCCTTCCTAAGGGCACTAAATTTCCTGAGTTGAAGATTATTTCAATATATATGTATATATTTATATATATATATGTTAAAATGGCCATTTGAACAATCTTTTTCATTAGTTTGTTGACTAAACTGGTTATACTAACGGGACAACAACTGCCAACTAAGTCTGTACTACCCCTGTATAAACCGACAGATTGCTGCGTCCTTCCAATCTTTCTGTGGTTCAGACTGCCTCAAAGACCTATCAAACAGTACTCTCAGTGGTTCAGCAATTACGTCTATCATGGCTCTCATAATCTTAAGATGGATATCTTTAGGACCTTGAACTTATCTTGTTAGGAAGTCAAGGAAATCGCAAGACAGCTCCTTTCCCAATGACCACAAGATACATCGACAAGTAGACATCTTCACCATTAACTTTTGGTCCTTCGCCATCTCTGCAGAAAACACTTCAGCCTCAACAACCTCATTTCTTATCACCGGATTTTCAAGTATCAAAGGCGGTGTGATCATATCAGTTCACTGAGTTCGCCTCCTTGCATGAGAGAACAATCTTTTTGGACTATTTTCACAATACCTGACAAATTATTTTCCATACGAAAGTCCAGCCTTACATATCAACCCTTTGCAAGAATTTCTGTTCTCACAGTAAATGGAATCGTACTGTTCAGCGGCTGTGGAGATAAACATACTTCAATGCATTTTCCTCGAACTAGGAAATTTTTTGAAGTGTATATTTATTCATGGTTAATATCCATTCGGTCTACTTGGTATTAAGCATGATGTAAACGAATATATGACTAAACTAAGTCTACCTTTAATTATGGACCATTCTCCTTCACTTGATATGATAGCATTTGCTGACCAGTCTGTTTTTGCCGAACACTTCTTGATAGTGGATATATTCTCTCTTAACACATTTGGGAGAGTTTTAACCTAACCGCATATTATAAGTGAGTTTACAGCATGTGAATTCACAATTTTCACTGCCACAAGATTCACAGACAAAGGAACGGATGTCTATATTATTAGATACGCATATAAAGACTCAAACCTCTTGCTTGCATCCATACTTATCAATACTTAGATATTCGTATCCCCACAATTTTGAAGTGGCGTCAAAGTCATACACTAACCAGGTTTTGTCCGCAGCTTTGAGGAGTGGTTTTAGTTCGTTCAGTAATACTCCTAGTGGACTTCTAGACATCTAAACTACGAGCATGTATACACTAAGCTCTTAAAGAGAACAATCTATCCACATAGGTTTTGAAAGCATTCGCTTCCGAGACCTGACTATTCAAGACGCAGAGAAAAGAAATTTTATTCACAGATATGTTGAAATGTTTCTTGTCTAGCTAGTGGCACCTTACATTTTACTCCATCTTCTAGAGAAATGTCAGGTTTTACTTGAATGTCGGTGCTATTTTGACTTTGTGCACAACTTAAAAAATATTTCTTCATTACTCCTACCCTGGGATTACAGTGAAAAGTCTACATGATCGTGGTTTGACATTTTCTTTTGCACTATTACCTATTCCTATAACGTTTGTGATCTGAACTCCTGTAGAGTCATTTGATAAGATGCTCTTAATAAATTCTCCGACTTTTTTCCAAATCATAAGAGTATCTGATTTTTCGACCATAGTCAATTGGAACGGAAAAATTATGATGACATTCTATGTGGTCAAACATTTTCCAGCCACTCTAGAGTCAAGTTTGGTCATACTTTAGGTTTCCTCACTTTTGTCCATTTTTCGTTACCCAGGATAGCCATGTAAGGGTGAAGTAGAGCGGTTACGGTATTATTCAGTCTTTCGGGTACTACTTTAGAGACATGCCCATCAACGTCAAGGACTGGTTCACTTTTTATTTGAAAGATTGTTCTTTCTCCAAATCTCGCGGTTTGATATTTGGCTTCTCTCGTAACGACACTTACTAAGCTGACACACTATTCGCTGTCAGTACTCATATTACTCCAGAGGATTTTGTCGCATCTTAGATCAGAATTGTGTTGCTCAGACAGCTAAACGTACAGACCGAATGGGAGCAAAGTTTCTGACACTTGTGTATGCGGGGGATTTTAAACAGATGCGCATCTTTTGGAACTACATTTAACACGCATCAAATTACAGCTATCAAAGATCAAGTAAGAATCAGTAATTACTGTTATAATAACTACTGTATTTAAAGTCTTACTAATACAGTCTCATATAAAATTTGTCAGAGGATTTGTACCGGTATTGGTATTAATCACACAATATTCAAAGCTGAACATGAGATAACCGGGAAAATAGACTTTCAACATGTAACGTTGAGCGAAGATCAAAAATGGTGGAGGGAGGAACATTCATAAAATCGTATGGCATGACTCAGAGTTGCAGACGCGGTCATTATTGTGTGAGATCTTTCTTCTTTTCATATTAATATATTGTCTTATATCTATCCCAAATGTGTTCTTTAGAAACGCCATAAATTATATTACCGATTGCTGCGATACGAGTCGGAATAAAAAATGATGTGACTCACTCGTAAGATCATATATATTGGGTTCTCACATTGTGAAAAATCTTCAATTTTAGGACTAGATCTATTATTATAGCAGTACAAATGACGAAGTTGATCGTAATTCTTCACACTATTATATGCAGAGCATTCAAAGATCGTAAGGTTAGGAACTAGTGACATTACAGGTCTACGCAATATTCTCACGGATGACGAGGTGACGAGTCCAGAATTTCATCGGGATTATAGTATTTGTTGGAAGTGATTTCGGTAGATATATGGAATTTACTGTACGAAACTTCATAGAAAGGGATTTCCTTCAAACGCAATTCTAAACTTTCCTCAGACTATCGAGTACAGTCATGTCAAAAAATAGGTAGGATGAACTAATTCGTTACTAATCGGTTAGTAATAGAGCGTCTTAAATTTAATGAATATGCTTTTTTGTCTCACCAATTAAGCAAAAATTGTTGTTGAAAAAAAGAGAAATCGACAATTACTGCATACGAAAGTTATGTATGACAAATGGTTGCATATCTAGAATAAAAGTTGTTACTATCATGAGCATGACTCCGAACTTATGTTTATAATAGCGATGTTTACCGGCTCCATAGTTCGGGTAGTTGTGGCGATGATGTTGCCAACATACAGTAAGCTCATTCACCCGCTTAGTCTGATGGTTTGTCTGCATTTGTGTGTCGCTAGATCTCCGGTTTTCACAAAATGTTGCAGGCTGTCCGATGTACGAGCAGCTAGTAAACATGCTGAAAATATCTGATGATGGCTATATGGCAGCGAAAATGAATCATAATGGATAGATAGTTTAATATAGTCATTGGTGTGATGGGCCATTCAAAACACACTGTAGATGATCAGCCTTGGTAAAAAGGCGTATTGGAATTAATGACGTAGAAAACAATATAATGAGATGGTATCAAGAAGAAACATTCATGTATGATAAGAATAATACAAAAATGACCTCAGACACGTGAATGAGAAAATAAATATGTGACGAAAGGATACGGAAAGTGAATGGAACAAACTCACTAAGTCATTAGTTCCAGTGAGTTGTGAATTTCATGCCGTGAATATAATGTTCATGAGTTTATAATTCACAAACGAATAGTATAGTTTCGTAAATATCGTAATTTAATGTCAATATGAGTATCAGTAGTAACTCCACTACAGTAATGCGATAATAATAATAACGATAAAGATGGTAGGACAATTTGAATGGGTAAACGAGAATAGCTGATAAATGACAAATGGATAAGACAATACGATATGACCATTTGCACGACAATGGGGTATTAACGTCGCTGCTTGACTCGGATTCGAGAGATTGAATCATCAGTTTGCATGGCAAATGAGTCAGCTGCGTTCATCTAGTCCATCAGATCCATCAGAATCCGAAATGGTTTTAGCGGACGTAGTTTACAAGTTGCTTTTAGTTCAAGGAAGGGCCGAACAGCTTTGTGGGTTAAGGTCTATCCAAAAGATAGGATGACTCATGTGACTGTAATAGTATTGGGCATTATAAGAGAAAAGTCCAGGAGAAAAAACTGGTGAATTAGCAGACTAAACCAGAAGTTCCTAAATTTGCGGATGTATCCAACCGGCAAAATGGGAGACTTTGAAAGCGCGACGTTAAGGCGTTGAGATAGTTGTAACTAGAAAACTGAAGGACAAGTTTACAAATGCGCCACATTTACCCTTTTTGAAGTGTGGGACGAAATTGAAACCCGATCACATGCACAATCTTCCACATCAACGATGAAACTAAAACTAGAATAGAAATGAATTATCCCCATTTTGTGTCGTGCAATATTAGACATTGGACATAATTTTGTTTGTTGGTTTTACAAATGACCTGCGCTTGTTTCAGTGGGCGCCGGTCTAAGGGTTTTTTGTAATCCTTGGTATCTTATTGTTTAATATTTCTAGGAATGCGTCCCACTCGACGTCAGTCATATATTCGTGAAAAGTGTGTAAGTAAGAATGTTTTTACTTAGCGATAATAGTGTTCTATAATATTTTTAATATCTATAATTTTATCTCCTAAACGGGCGTTTAAAGTGTTCAGTTTTTTCTAATTATGCGTGTGTCCCAGTGCGTTATCGTTAACGTGACTCTTACAATCTCAAGATGTTCTGTTGTCAACAGACATTTCTTGACTTTCTTTTGACGAAATATTATGAACCATGTTATGTAAGTCGAGGGAATTAATAAATATGGAGGATTAGTCACGATTTTAAGGGGCACCATATTTTTTCGGTTTCTAAGCTTCAGCGTTTCTGTCTGAGTGTCTTGTGTATTTACTGAAATTACGGAATATTTATGTGAGTGGATTGAGTCTTCCTGCAACTGCTATATAAAGTGACAGTGTCATTTTCTTTTCTACCTTTGGTTAATTGAGATAACGCGCTGTGACTCTAGGTAATTAACACTGTGTTCTAAGAAATTCCGTCAATGGTCTTATTGATATTAGATGTTTAAAAATTACAACAACTGAAATGTCCCTCTTACTGTTCAACATTACTGTAAATCTCTTGTCATTATTTCTTTATTTGGGAGTCCGAAAAAGCCCGACTCAAAAAAGATACATTTACCTTTCCGTTCTTATCCCTGGGTCCATAGATAATGTTAACACCAGAACTTTTCAAACTTCTGAAGACAGGGTTTGATAATATTTTTGTACGTTACGTTGGCAACCCGGCTTCATTACTTAAAGCTTAAACATCCACACTCATTGTGCATTTCTGTGTTCTAAATATTAAGTTTCCGGTTATTCACCTGTATTCTGACCTGTTTTTTTAAGCTGTCATGCCCTTCATGCATTTAGCGATTTATGACAGTCCACTCATTGATATAAGAATTGCATAACATGCTGTGCTCTTCATATCATTTTTCCGTGTTTAACGACAAATACAAATATACTACCAGAAATCTCTGGTTCAATCGTATCCAGATCTCATTAGAATTAGCCTGGATAAATGCATCTGTTCAGTTTCCACCGGTTTTTATGTATGCAATCTTATAGGTTAAGCATATATGGTAGCTCAGTAAACGCTGATTTGAATTCCATCATGACCTAAACCTCACCTCCGTCATCTGTGCCATCTTACAAACTGGTTTTTAATACATTTTATATTTATTGAAAAAACGTGCGAATATGTTTAGCATAACAATTCAAATAAAATGAAGCTACAAAAATCGTATCTGCAAACTTTTGTTAATAGTAGTCTATACTGGCGACTTTAAGCGACTTATCGGATAATTAGGAAACTTGGTTATCGAAATATTAACGATAAACACTGAAAAAATTGCAGTGGAATAATAGTTTTAATGTGACTAAAAAATCCTTACATGTTGAACTATTTATGGTAAATGAGAAAGGGTTAAGTTTGCATTTATTTATTTGAACACATAAATATTGGTACAAGGGGGCACCAAATATTTGTGCGCCACACAAAACAATGATAATTTGAAGAGAAAGGAGAAAAAAAGGGAGAGAACAATAAGGGGGGAAACGGAAAGGTACAATCAGAAGAAATCTTTCAGTTAAGGAAGAGGCAACCACTTTTTATGAAGAAAGTAAAAGAAGGTTACAGCAGGATCGCCATTGGCTTCTATTCTGAGACATCTGATAACGTCTCTAGCCACTGTGTTACACCGCCTCTCGGACCCATGCCAGGGAGTCGTGAAGGACCAACAAAAGCTAGCCCTTTGCAGATTTCTTTCATACCATGACACCATGTCATATACTGGCCACCTCTTCGCTTTTTCCAACCAGTCCCAGAGTCGGCAAATAATGCACGACGTGGAATTCTCTGGGATGACATTCGTAGAACATGTCCAAGCCACCGAAGTCGGTGTTTCAAGATGGTGACACCAATTTCATTATCGTCTCTGTGCCCGAATACACGATGCCGAACCTCTGTATTACTAACATGGTGTTGCCACTGAATGCCAGCAATCCTTCGGAGACAACGATGATCGAACACAGAGAGTCGTCTAACATCTTCAACTCGGAGAGGCCAGGTTTCACAAGCATAGAGCAAAACTGCTCTCACCGTCGCGTTGTAGATCCTACGTTTTACAGCCAGACTAATATCACGAAGGCGCCAAAGATGGCCCAGATTGGCATAAGCCGCTCTGGCTTTCATTATACATGCATTGATCTCATCACTCACGCCACCACCAGCACTTATGCAGCTACCCAGATACACGAACTTCTCGACTACTTCTATCTGCTCACCATCCAGAGTGAGTACATGATTAGAATCCTGCCAGTCTTGTAGAAGTACTTTGCACTTCGAGGGTGCAAAGCACATAGCATAACTATGAACACTGATTGCCAACTGATTAAGTGCGGATTGCATAGCTTGGGCATTCTCGCACAGTAAGACAATATCATCCGCATACTCAAGGTCGAGAAGTCTTTCTCCAGGCAACAGATCCACAACACCGTTACTCACATCCATCAGAGCTGTATCCAGAATGTCATCGATGGCAAGGTTGAATAGGAATGGTGAGATTAGGCAACAATGCCAAACCCCAGTGCTCGAATGGAATAATGGAGAAAGGTGGTTGTATGCCCTCACTTTGCCTGAGGTGTTTGTATATAGGGCTTTTAGGATGTTAATAAACTTCTCAGGCACACCCTTCTTCAATAGAAAATTCCAGAGAATAGTCCTGTTCAATGAACCGAAGGCAGTCCTTGTGTCAAGAAACACTGCGATTGTTGGCCTTTGGTAAGTATGGCGGTGTTCTAACATTTATCGGAGGGTGAAGATATGATCAATACATCCTCGACCGGAACGAAAACCAGCCTGCTCCTCGCGAGTCAATCTTTCTCGGGTTTTGAACAACTTACGAAGTATGACGGAAGCCAACAGCTTGGACGAAATCGGAAGTAGACTTATCCCCTGATAGTTGTTACAGGAACGAGGTGAACCCTTTTTAAAGATAGGGACAACTATCGACTCATTCCATGACGTTGGTACACTCTCTAATTCCCAGACCTTTGCAAACAACGTCGTCAGTCCCTTAGTCAGAAAGTCACCACCATCTTTAAGAAGAGCCGGAGGTAAGTCGTCTGGGCCCGGTGATTTGTAACGTTTCAAGAGTTGGAGTTCCATGCGGACTTCCGCCTCATTCGGTGGATCACTCGTCACCGGCCATGGAGGGCAGGACAGTCTGACCGATGTTGCCGGAGCAGCAGGCCAGTTGAACTGCCTTTCAAAGAATTCTGCCCATCGTCTAAGACGTCGTTGGGTGTTAGTGATTGGCGTTCCGTCATCCTCGCAGATTGTTTCGCTTACACCAGACTTCTTGCTGCCAGTGGCTCGGATGAGTTGGAAGAGCTTCCGGTAATTACCAGATGCAGCTGCTGCTTCCAGCTCATTAGCACGCTCCGACCACCAGGTTTCTCGGTCCTTACGCAAGCTTTGCCCGATTTCATTACGTAACATCCTTCGTCTGTGGTCAAACTCACGGTCACCCGGAGTAGACCGACGGGCTTCAATGAGTTGTAAGGAGCCTGGAGAAACCCAGTGCTTATAAGCGGGACGTTTCGCGAACCCACAACAGACTGTACCCACCATTTTCATGGAGTCATGCAATTGCAACCAATGCTCATCTATACTTTTCGGTGGAATGCCAGAAGCTAGCTCGGTTCCGTACTTACTTGCAACAGAAGTTGCAACCAGCTTGCTAACACCAATCCTTTGGTGGCGGTCACTTCGTTGTCCACTGAAAAGTAAGGTAAGATTGGCGCAGACCAGAGCATGATCAGATTCCAGATAGGTACTACAAAAAGAGCGGTAGTTTTATACACAACCACGCCAGCGGTAGCTGATCGCGATGTGATCAATCTGAGTCCAGGCTAGAGATGCAGAATGGGGACGCCAAGTGGCACATCGGCGATGACTGTGCCGAAAGTTGGTGCTAGCCAGAAACAGGTTGTGGTCTGTGCATAGTTGCAGTAGACGTTCCCCGTTATCTGTCCTGCGACCAACGAGTCCCCATCGGCCACCTAAACGACTCTCTTCTGTGCCTAGACGCCCGACCTGAGCATTAAAGTCTCCGGCTAGTACTACAATATCTGTCGAGCGCACTTTCTGGAGAAGAACAGTTAACTGGTGGTAGTACTCATCCTTGATTGCATCCGGGCTGCAATCTGTCGGGGCATAGGCGATGACGAAAAGACATCGTTTCTCACGCCGATTTCTTCTCACTTTGATGGAACTTTCTAATCTAACAGCACATAACCGACTGTTAGTGGGGATCCAGTCGATTAGTGCTGCCTCAGCTCTAGCGCTTAGTGCGACACTAACGCCAGCAAGACCAGACGAAGATGCCACAGGGTCCCCGGATAAACGTACATAAAACAAGCCTTTTGAAGCGACAGATGGAGAGCGAACTTGTAGTACTTCACCAGAGTCTTGAATACGGGTCTCGTATAGACAACAAACGTCAATATTAAGACATTCGAAAGACATAACCAGCCGTATCTGTCGTCCGACCTGCATAAGTGTGCGAACGTTGAAGGCAGCCAGTTTGAATGGTGCACGTGGTTTCAGAAAAACTGTTTCAGTACTCGTATTCGGTGGTAACATACAATTTCCAACCAGGCAGTGACTCGAGAGCGTTTAGATAGAGCCGAATTTTCACCATAGGCGAGCTGTTGTATAAGTCGAAAAATAAGGATGGGCAGAGTGGAAATAAAAGAGAGTGAATAGATGACGTGGTAAATAATAATAATAATAGTTATGCGAGTCACTTCAGTGTAAATCGGAGCGAAAAGAATATTTTCCATAAGTAAATAGTTCATCATGTTTTAGTGCGTAGGCTGAGATACTGCCCGGGTGCCCAAACCGAAGCAGGTGGTTTTCTTAGGGGGCCACACCCCGAGCCTTTGACTCAAAGGTCTAGTCCACAAGGCAGTGGAGCATCGTGAGGAGATGCAGTCCCATGGAAGCCGGTGACCGAAAATTGGTTCATACGCCATTTGTTCCCTCAGGATACTGGAGCCCATGTGCACCATTGGTTTGGGATCCGGTTAAAGCGCCGGACATTCGCTTTTAGTCCTGTCATTTTCGTAAACAACACCCGTGGTGCGAGAAGGCAGTGAGTAGGACTTCCCTGGCAGAGGCTGTATACGCGTGGCCATGTGAGAGTATTTCGAGAGGGAGGGCGGACCGACCCCACTCTCGGCCGTACCAGAGCATTTGGGGGCTAAGTCTACATATCAGTAGTTGGCCAGTGTTATGAGTTAGGTTATGATTCTGCAGGGTGTTAGTCGCCAACTAACATCAGCTACTATGCAAAAAGGTTATAGTTTTCATTTTGAACTGAAATTAACTAAAGTGTAATGAAACGCTGCTACCCTTTTGGTGAGACTAATTCATAAACGACCTTTGAGAAATATTAAAATGGCCCAGGAAATACCCACCTGTTTATCAGAGTTAAATCAGGGTTTTAAATTAATGTGAGAAATTAGGATTAGAAGTTAGACGTTAAGGCTAGAAATTAGAAATAATACTTTTATCACGAACTGATATCAGCCATAATGTTAAGGTGCCATTTGACCAAATGAATATGAAGGGGGAGGTTGATTATGAATACAGTGGTCTTGAGTGCTGTTAGAGGTATGAGGGCGGTTATCACTTCCCGGTTGCCCACACCGTGGAAGGGTTCTGCTGGAGATACCTGAAAAGGAAATTGGAACAATTTTGCACCAAAATCCAAGATCTACTTCTAAATCTGGTTGGTTCGTCCTTAAAATTTACAGAAGTTAGAGTAAAAGTACTATCTAACTGTACATTTGCCCCTAACTATCCATTTAATTTCATACTTTTTTACCATCAATTTCAATCACTTTAGGAACTAAGAATTCCTAGTTTTCGCTTGGTTCATAGCAACCTGCAAGATATAATTCATCTTTGTATTGGTTGTTTGAATTTTCTCATTTATGTTTAGGACTGCAATTGGTCAGTTTCTTATCGGCATATATATCCTGTGCGAATCGCCTCGATATTGTTTTGAATTAAAAGCATTATAAGTGGAGGTTGATGGTGGCTATCAGTGGATTCAACTATTAGCTACCAATCTCTGCTTATAACTTGTAAAATATCTTACATTACGTTCCGATTTCGCGCAGAATCTCGTGGGGCATCGTCTTAACTTTTAGTGGCTCACCCGAGGCCATCAGAATCGCATGCTTGCCAAATTTTTTAAATCACAAAATAGCTTGGCTATTTTAGTAGGCTTTGTAGTACTTAAATGCATCTTGCTAATTATTTTGTTTTGTGATCCTTGAATTATACGTTTTATGAAGGTCGCACTAACCGTTGACTTCTTGATATCAGCTTGGTTTTAAAAAGAACAAAAATGCAATAAACAGCTCTATCTTGGTCTACCTGGTTGACAATAGTCATATGTTTGACAAGACCTGGTCATTTTGAGTGATTTATGGTATACCTTCGTCATTTCTCAATCGGGTTGTCCCATCTCTTACATATAACAGGAGCTAAAAGGATCTGAACATACAACGCTAGTTTATATGTTCAGAAGAAATTTGTGACACTCCTGTCCTTCCATTGGTCAGATATGACTTAGCAAACGATTTTTTGATCGTCGTACATCTCTTATTTCACCTCCTGCTTATATTCTCCAATATATAATTTACATAATTGTTGCGTAATTATAGTGATGTTTTGTGATTTTTTTAACTTCTATTTATCCAAGTTTCACCTACTTCCTATTTTGAACTGTTGACTAGAACATCTGTTATTTTATAATCATTGACCACCACTATTGCACCTGTCTTACTATCAGTACTTTTTACCTATGTGCATAAATACGAAATCTACTTAGTTATAATCATTAAATTATGATTTGCCTTCACTTGTTCAATATTTTCATATAAATACTGATGTGTACTAGATTGATGACGATCTATTTGGAAACAATATTGTTCGCTTGTATGTGTTATTCTAGTTTCTGATAAATCTGAAAAGTTATCTATTGTTAACCGTCAGAGCTACTTTTTCCATCTATTGTTTTCACTGCTCACCATTGTCCAAGATCATTAGTTATACGTTTTGTCACTCCATATTTAAGTTGTTTCCGCTCCTCACTGTGTTCAGAGCTAGATTCTGCGCTACTAGTGGTTAAATGAGGGTTTTTGCCCCCAAATGCCCTGGTACGGCCGAAAGTGGGGAGAGTCCGCTCTTCCTCTCAAAATGCTTTCACATGGCCATGCGTATATAGCCTCTGCCAGGGAAGTCCTACTCATTGCCTTCTCACACCACGGGTGTTGTTTACGAAAATGACAGGACGAAAAGCGAATTTCCGGCGCTTTAACCGGATCCCAAATCAATGATGCACATGGGCTCCAGTATCCTGAGGGAACAAATGGCGTATGAACCAGTCGTTGGTCACCGGCTACCATGGGACTGCATCTCCTCACTATGCTCCACTGCCTTGTGGGTCAGACGTTCAGGTCAAAGGCTCGGGGTGTGGCCCCCTACGAAAACCACCTGCTTCAGTTTGGGCACGCAGGCAGTATCACAGCCCTCACAAAATCAATTGAGATTTGTGTGGCGCATATGTATTTGGTGCCTCCCTGTACCTATACTTATGTGTTAAAATAAATAAATAAATAAATAAATAAATAATAAATGAGGGTTTTTGATATTGTCTAGTTGCTCAAACGGGTGTTGGTAACGTGGAGTTTAAAGCTGCGATATACTGATTGAACGTAGTACGTTTTAATTATTATTTATTTATTTTAACACATAGGTATTGGTACACGGAGGCACCAAGTACATATGCGCCACACGAATCTCATTTGATATGTGTGAGGGCTGTGATACTGCCTGCGTGCCCAAACTGAAGCAGGTGGTTTTCTTTGAGGGCCACACCGAGAGCTTTCGACCTGAACGTCTGATCCACAAGGCAGTGGAGCATCGTAAGAAGATGCAGTTCCATGATAGCCGGTGACCAAAGATTGGTTCATGCGCCATTTGTTCCTTCAGGATACTGGAGCCCATGTGCATCATTGATTTGGGATCCGGTTAAAGCGCCGGAAATTCGCTTTTCGTCCTGTCATTTTCGTAAACAACACCCGTGGTGTGAGAAGGCAATGAGTAGGACTTCCCTGGCAGAGGCTATATACGCATGGCCATGTGAAAGCATTTTGAGAGGAAGAGCGGACTCTCCCCACTTTCGGCCGTACCAGGGCATTTGGGGGCACGTTTTAATTACTAAACTACCACTTTATAAGAATGAATTGTGCACCATAAGGATTGTCGTAAAAACTATAAGAACACGATTGTTGTTCAGTATGTCTCAATTTGCGGAATTAACTGTCATATGTATTTGTCGAATGAACACTAAGAGTATCTGATATGTTTGGTCCTGTTTTTAATTTTTTGCCAGGTTTTTATTAGACTTATTTTGTAAGGCCTTGGTTTAGTGATTAAATCTTTCGATTTTTCATCCCTAAACCACAAGTTCAAAACTCAATTCACGTACTTGGTTTTGAATAGTATCACTAATTCTTTCATTCTGAGTATAATTTAAATCCGAATGCGAAAAAACTATAATTTATGGACGACCTTTGAGGGACACTAAATGACCTTGAGATTGTCTACCTACTTACTAGGGCTAAATGAGGGTTACAAAGCAGTTTAAAGAATAAGGATTAGGATTTACAGTTGATGGTTAGGGTTAAGACGTGGATTTAGGGTTTTCATCACGAACTGACAACAGCTACAATGCCAAAACTTTAGCCAAATGCGTGAATGAATTTCGCGCCAAAATATCAGACTTGTTATCGTAGATCTGATTGGCTCGTCCAAAAGTTATAGTCTCGCCAACTATACTTCCTAGAAAATCCACATCCTTTTATTTTTAGAAATAAAAAGCACTAAATTGCTTTTATCTGTATTTTTCTTCGTATTAAAAGATTTCATACTTGATCATAGTCTGTTTCTTTTCAGCCCGATTTAGATATGTCAACTAAATCTATCACGAATACTGATCCTAACCAATCTGGTTCATCGTTGCCTGCTCAGTCACCTATTCACTTGCGAAAACGTGGCCGACCAAGTAACAGGAAGTTAGGTCAGTTCATTTATGGTGAAATTTTTACATTGTTGTCTAGGAATTCTGACATAATTCAATGTTTTCCGGCTGCCTGTAATATTAATACAAACCTGTTTGGGATGCGTTTCTCTTTCTCTGAATGCAAAGTATTGCTTCAATATTACTCTGGACAATCACCTTGACTGATCATAAAGACTGAACTAAGTGCCTTGATCACTTCATTCATTTTGTGAGTTAGTATGCGAGGTAGTCTCTATAACGCCTCAATAAAGCTACCTGGACTTTTAGTAACTTGCATCACTTGTGGTATATGTGAGATGTTCACCTACCAACTAAAATGTAGTAATTTCATCTAGCGATCCGCTCTATTGTACTCTATGTCTATAAGACATGGTTTGTGAAAGTAAAAGACAAGCATAGGTTACGGATTTTGATCATAGGTGTCTTCGAACCATTTTCTACGTATTTTCGGACCACTGAGCCAGCAATGTTCAGGCGAGGAATAGGGTGCTAGACGAGGACAAAATTTTGGTTAACAGGGTTGTGAATCTCCAGTGGTTGGTCCGGCTGTATGAAGTTATTAAGACATCTCATGGTAGTTGAACTATTGATAGTAGCAGTTATGGTATAAAAGGTTAGGTATTGTTCAAGAAAACAAAGGTTATAAGACTTAGAAATTCATAAAGAGTGAATGCATCTGCACCATTGTTGACGGTTCTGAGCAGTGTTACCCAAAGTCTCTAACCATTGGTTACGTTAATCGCTCGAACTTCATCCAGTTAGTCTGCACTTACCAGTACAGCTCAGTCCATTCGTCAGTATTGTCATGGACTGATTCCTTTTCTATTAATCTCCCTCTATATATTCAGTTGTATATCATTTATTCCTCAAGTTAATTATTCCTTTTTTGGGATCATATTCTTTATTCTTAATCTTTTCTCGAACACTGATACTGCTGGTACTTGTAGTGTAGTGAGATTTGTCTTGATGATTTCATTTCATTGTGCTAATTTAATGTCCACATGTGTCCCCGGTTTAACGTTATTTATAAGTGACTAACCACTTTTTGGACACATTTTGTAAACGTTCTTCATTCTTATTTCCTTTAGTAAAATGCAATAATTATATACAAATATTAATTATAAATATATGCATGAATAAATGTAGTTTAGTAAATAAGTGATTGGTGAATACAATGCTATGCTGTAATGTACAGTGTCCAAAAGATGATACTGACATACATTTTCTCGAGAGAAAAGACACTTAGTGAGAAAAGATGTTTTTCTTTTGTTTAACCCGAGTCACATTTATGTGTGTGCTCCTTTAGGAAAATAAACTTATCAATGGTTCATATCTCATCCATTGGAAGTAAAAGCTATTTCTTGACCAATCATATGCACTTGTCATTTGATCTGTTGTATCGATACGTTGTTTTATTTATTCACTCATTCTTGCGCATAATATTTATTATTTATTTGTTTGAATACACAAATTTTGGCACAAAGGAGCACCGAATACATATACGTCACACAAGTCACTTGATTTGTGTGTGGGCTCTGATACTGCCCGGGTGCTCAGATTGAAGCAATCGGTTTTCTTTGGAGGCCACGCCCAGAGCCTTCGACCTAAAGATATGATCCACAAGCCTACAAATGTCCTGGTACGGCCAAGAGTGGGGAGAGTCCGCTCTCCCCCTTGGAATGCTCTCACATGGCCACGCGTATATAGCCTCTGCCAGGGAGGTCCTACTCACTGCCTTCTCGTGGCGGGGGTGTTGTTTACAAGATTGAGAGGACGAAAAGCGAATCTCCTGGGGTTTTAACCGGGTTGGTGGACATGGAGAGTCCACCCAGGGGAGTTGGAAAACTCTGATTTCAAATCAACGGTGCACATGGGCTCCAGTATCCTGAAGGAACAAATGGCGCATGAACCAATCTTTGGTCACCGGCTATCATGGGACTGCATCTTCTTACGATGCTCCACTGCCTTGTGGATCAGACGTTCAGGTCGAAAGCTCTCGGTGTGGCCCCCTAAGAAAACCACCTGCTTCGGATTGGGCACGCAGGCAGTATCACAGCCCTCACACATATCAAATGAGATTCGTGTGGCGCATATGTACTTGGTGCCTCCGTGTACCAATATCTATGTGTTAAAATAAAAAAAATAAAAAAATATCTGATCCACAAGGCAATGGAGTAACCTCAGGAGATGCAGTCCCATGGTAGCCGGTGACCAACAATAGGTTCATACGCCATTTATTCCTTCAGGATCCTGGAGTTCTTGTGCACCATTGATTTGGAATCAGGGTTTTCCAACTCCACTAGATGGATCCTCTATATCCACCAACCCGCTTAAACCGCGATATATTTGAATTTTGTCCTTTCAATTTCATATCAATACCCCTGCCACGAGAAGGCAATGAATAGGACTTCCCTGGCAGAGGCCTATATACGCGTGACAATGTAAGAGCATTTCGAAAAAGAGGGTGAACTCTCTCCACCCTCAACCGTAACCAAGGCATTTTGGGAGGGGGGGCATATCATATCAAACAAACAATGTAAAAATATATATTATTCTTAGTACTTATGTGATTATGTTTTATTTATTATTAGTTCTAATATTTTATTACTATTATTTATAAATAGTTCATTTTATTAATCAAAATTCATCAAATGGTTCATCTGATCATAAACATAATAATAATAATAATAATAACTTTAAAGAAGATTTATCAACCAATGAAAATCAAAGATACTTTATCCAAAAAAAATTTAATCCATCCACCGTATATTCATCAAGTTCAGATGAATTAAATTTACATTATTCACATCGTGTATTACGTCCACGTAGATCAACATCAAATTATTATCCACAAAGAAAAAGACGTAAACATTTCAATTGTGATAAAATAACTGAAAAATCATTATCAACACATCAAAATATTCAATATAATGTACAAACAAATTCATTACAAAATAATTTATCTGTTAATATTAAACCATGTACACATTCAATCAATATTCAAGAAGATCATAATAATGCTATGCTTGAAGATGATGATGATGATGATGGTGTAGGTGATATTGATGATGATGAAGAAGATGATCATGATGAACAACAAACAAGACGTTATCCAGTACGTAATCGTAAGAATACTATTGTTTATCAGGGTAAGAATTGTATATATATAATTCTTGTGTATATGTATCTTGTTTATGTGTCACTCAATTTCGTGGATTATTTGAAGTGAGACATGAACACCGTTGGACCAGTAGGTCCTGGGTTCGAATCTCGTGGGGCGAAATCGTGGATGCGCACTGCTGAGGTGTACCAAAATAGGTCGAAACGGCCGTCCAGTGCTTCTAGGTTTTCTATAGTGGTCTAGCTTCAATTGACTCATGATCCCAACAATTGAAATTATTCTTAATAATTTGAAATATTGTAGTATGGGTTACTTATATCCACATAAGTAGTATATAACGCTGATCAGGCATAGAATGTATTTCAGTAGAAGATTTATAAGGAAAGAACGGAAACGTAACGTAATTGGTATGGAAATGCATGAACAATGAAATCTGAGACAATGGACTGATACTTGCAAAAGGAACAGTGAAGATTGAGACGATGAATCGACATTTTGCAAATTAGGTATTTAATATATGGTTCTCAGATTTTAGTGAGATCCATTCGATTGTCCCCACTTGTGTTCTTGTTCACTACAATATTAATAAGATTTATTTTGAATATTATGATTTATTTAATAAATATACTAAATGAGATCACAGAAATTGTATTGTACAACATTTAGCGTACCATTGATTTTTATTCATTTAGAAGGACTTCTTGTTTTTCTCAATATACTTTTCTCATTATTGTGTTTTCATTGTTTAAATTATTCTTGAAGTTTTTAAAATCCAAACTCAATGTTTTTATGTATGGAATTATAATTCATCGTCATTAATGATGAATCTCATGAAAATCAAAGATTTGTATTGACATTACTATAGTCCATTTGGAATTCTATCTTGTTTTAACTTTTTAGTTAGGTGTTAGCAAACTTTTAGACATTTTTTTAAAAAAAAATATTGCTCTCACCGTCTGATTTATCAGCGGTTGATGCTCTACCAGGAGATTCACTTATTAACTGTGAATACTCAGATGATATAGTTTTGCTCGGCGAATACACTAACAGAATATAGTCTTCTGATCATCTTACTCAGCAATGCAAGGATGTTTGGGGTGCGATTCTTTCCTTCCAGATGGAGAATGTTGCCTAAGGATTGATTTGAGTCAGCGGCTGAATTAATGATAGGGAGTGAAGTAGTTGAGGGTACCAACTGCTTCATTTATATTAGGAGTCCCATCAATCCTTATGGTCTGGTGTCTGATGAAATCCTAGCACGGATTCAGAAAGCTCATTTGACTTTTGTCAACCTGCGTCACTTGTGGTGTGGGAGAGATATTTGTCTCCCAACTAAAGGATGAGTTTACAGCACAAAAGTTTGCGCTGTTTCAATTTATTAGCGTGAAACATGGTCATTAATAATATAAGGTATTCGTGAATTACTAGTATTCGATCATAGGTATTTTTGATACATTACTCGTATATTTTGCGATCATTGTGTGAGCTATCCCTGGGTTAGAAAAAGGGTACTAGGTAAGCATGGCGAGTCGCTTGAAGAGATGGTAAATATTCATCAGCTGAAGTGGTTGAGATATGTATTACAAATTTCCAACCACTCTCTACCGTGATGGGCGATATCGTGTGATGTAGAGGAGTAGGCTGGAAAGAAGATAGGGGTGACCAAACCGAAACATAGCATCAATCACAGATAACCAGGTCTAGTCATGTTAACATATATACACTACCTGGTTTGGGTCCACATAATCCATGGTTCGAGACTTTGACAGTGCTCAAAATCGTTTGCAATTGCGCAGGTGCATCCATTTCTTCTCTTCCCACAAATTTTGAGGTCCTAAATTCGCCATAACCTTACATTTTATTTCACTAATTTATATTTCCTCAAATCATATCTTCGGTGCCTAATCTTTTTCACTACCACTGATAGTGTTACTACATGTACTAATATGGGATTGTCCCTTGGAATTTCGTCTCGTTATACCAATGGAATGTGGCACCTTGTAGAGATGTACATATTTACCAGGTTCTACTTGGAGTTTGACTAACTGAGACTTTGGGTGCTATTTTCTCAGTTCAAAATGATTGTCTAGAATTTTACGCATAAAGGATTTCTTCAGATTCAGTTCATCAACAACCATTTGTTATGGAAAAATACAAGACTTCGCGTGTGTGTTTATATCGCTCTGTATTTGGTCGAGTATTTGTTAAAGACTCTTGATTTTTCCAAGTATTGATATGTGGCTGTATATCGTATAACAAACGGTTTTTCAACAATTAATTATTATCAGTATAGTTTTGTGTAGAATTTTGAAATTTATTGAGATAGCAAATTGGTCTAGGTTAGACATCTATTGTATACCTGGAACCACTGAACAGTCGTTTCACTCGAGTATGGAACTCCGGAGCAGTGTGTATCCATGGCGTTAAAACTCAGATATAAAGTGATAAACTCGGTAAAACTAATCAACTTTGAGCAAATATATGGACAAGTAGAAAATCTATAAACCAATTAAGAGAACAGTTTACCATTAATCAATTATAAAACAAAAAATAAATTCTATAACATAGTAGCAAGCTACTCATGAGTAACACAGTTGTAATACATAAATTTAACAGTGTAACGCAAAGCCGGTCAATAAATCTATATTCTTTTTTTCAATCGGTTCATGATCTCAATCGAAAAAACTTGATAACCTCCACAACCCTTATACTGATAATTACCATGTACTCACTAGTGACTAGCTTCGTAAAGGAATTCTTGGAGTTCTAGTAAGAAGCCGTGGCCAGTGGAGCTAATCCGTGTCGGGTAGAGACAGGTATCTACTTCAATACAATGGAAGATGGTCACGCAATTTCGTGGATTGATTGAGGTTAGACATTAACACCGTAGGATACTGACCGGCTCAGTGTTCTAGAGGTTAAGCGTTCGCGCTTGAAACCGAAGGCCCTGGGTTCGAATCCCGCGAGGTAGTATCGTGGATGTGCACTGCTGAGGACGGAAAGGCCGTCCAGTGCTTCCAGGTTCTCAATGGTGGTCCAAAATCAATCGGTTCATGATCTAAATAAAAAAACCTCATAATCTCCACAACCCCTATACTGGAAATTTATATTCACTAAGTAAATTAGATTAGATCTTGAAATGTTCAACTAATAAAAACTGTACATGGAATAGAATGTACATAATTATTTTTCTGACTTGTGTTCATCTTTTAGTTCGCTTGAATTATTAATAACTTTCTCAAAAGTTTTTTTTCTTTTTTTTCAGTTGAAAATTTGCAGAATAATCATAGTAATAATAACAATCATGGTGTTCAACAACATCATAGAAACTGGTTAGCCGGTACAGGTTATCATAAAGAAAGACGATCACGTCAATTGAAATCCAAGTGTGTATAGAAAGTGTCTACTTTTGTATATATATATATATATATATATATATATATATATATATATATATATATATATATATATATATATATATATATATATATATATATATATATATAGTTAGATTAACTTAGTCATCAGGTATTTGGATATGAGCCACACTTTTAATAAGAGCTAAGAATGATGCACAGTTGTCCAGATTGAAATATGTTCGACGGGGTTCGAACCCGAGAAGTAGTGACCGGAATACGACCTCTCTAACCACCAGATCTCTGAATGCCCTATTACGGCCGATGGTTGGGAGAGTTCACTCTCCCTTTCGAAATCCTCTCATATGGCCACGGGTATATAGCTACTGCCAGTGAAATACTATTCACCTCATTTTTGTGTCAGAGGTGTATTTACGAAATCGAGAGGACGAGAAATAAATGCCTGGCCTTTAGACCGGGTTGGTGGGTACGATGAAGCCACCTATGGGATTTGGGGAACGCTTGTTGCAAACCAGAAGTGCACATGAACTTCTGGATCCTGAAGGAAGAAATAGTGCATAAAAATAGTGTTAGTCACTGGTTACTACGGGACCACATCTCCTGACGTTGGTGCATTGCCTTGTGGATTGGATCACCATATCAGCAGATCGAGGAGTGTTCCAACCCACACACAAATTGAATGATAACTACTATGTGTAGCGCATATTTATTTTTATACCCCCTTGTATCAACGTCCATTTGTTCGAATAAATATCCACTAGCTAATATTAGATGTATTTATGCATACACATGGTGAACGAGATTTCAAGTGGTTTTACATAGTTTGAGTTAAATCGTGCTTGATCACGGTTTTGTGATAGTTGGGAGTCGTTAGTAAGGTGTACATGAAATTTTGAGCAAGTGGTACTCTTTGTGTGTGTGACTTGAACCTGCGTTAGTCAGCTTCTTAGTCGGTTGAGTTGTTCATCTGATATCGGTATCTTGAATGTTATTTTCCCTTTTCCTCGTCGCCAATGTTATGGATTCTCTTATTACGATTCAGCTACTCTTAATTTTAAGTATTTTTTTTTACACTAATTCACTCTACAAGTCTCCAAATCAGAACACGGTGGAACAGGAATGTAATTATATTTGAAATAACAAGGTTAAATGGAAGTAGGAATTACGATAAGAAAAAATGTTAGTGTATCTATAGTTTTTTTTCACATGAGAAGATTCTCAAATCTTCCCCAAATCTCCGCCAGCGCTGATTCGTTAAGAAATAGTCAGTCAACGTGCTCCAAAATTCTTTTTCCTGTTAACAGGTACTCATTATAATCAGTTGTAGTTTTAACACTTATACACAAAATCTCTACAAACCTAGTAAGTAACACTTGTAAATGTTATAACGAGTGGATAGGATAGTGATATTAATTCCTTCACATCATAATAGAATAGTGTCCATTGTTTTTTTCTAACATTTTTCTACTTAAAACATTATTCGTTTTAACATTTTCTACTTCCTACCTTTTTTTTTCTTTCAAGGCATCGTAAAAATTTAGAACATTGTGGTTCAAGTAGTAGTAGTACATCGTCTTCTTCTTCAACATCATCGTCAAGATCTAATATTTCTGATAGATTATTTTGTAATCGTAAAAGTTGGCATAATCGTTGGCATTTTTCTTCTACTAAAGAGAATAATGTTCCATTAACAGTTGATAAAGATGAAAAACGTTTTCAACGTCGTATTAATAAAAGTATTATACATGCTAGATCAGAGCTTATGCCTATAAACAGTCATCAACTTGGTTATGAAGTATGTATTGTTCATATATTATTCTATTATATTATAAGTTATACATATTCTGTAAAATAGAATCTTATCATAGTTTGTACTGGTTTATGGAGATAATTTTTGGGTTTAACTGTCCTTTAATAATAAAAAACAATCCAACTCGTTCACAAGGTACTTGACTATGCGCTATATTTTAAGTATAAAGGCTAATGATATTACCATCTGGTCGCTTAAACCGAAGTAGATAAAGCTGGGTTCAAATCTAGGAGTTAGTGACTGGGAAGTCAAACACCTTGACTAATAACCACTGATCTACAAGAAATCTAATTCAACTCTTTAGCTACTAGTGCGCAGATGATTGGAATTTCGGCAATTTGATTTGCAAAAGTTTGTTCCAACTTGGCAAACAAAAGGTGTTCCGATCTTAATCTTCACATAGCGAAGTTACGAATAGGTTCCACTGAGGAGTCTTATTTTAGGACGAAATAACTGTCTAGTGCTTTCTGGTTTCTCATGGTATCTCAGCTTAGATAAATCTACGACTTAAAAATTAAACCGATCTTTAGAGGAACCCTTCAATTAAAATAGATTGTTGTGATGAATCAAAACACCACCACATTTTCCAATCATTGATTCGCACAGATTCATAGGTCACTTTAACACTTAATTTGGTTTTTCGTAGCTAATTGTTGTTACTAGGTAACATACAAAATGGTCAGTTCAATTAAGATATATACGAACCATGCATATTGTAATTGACTAACGTTTTTATCATATTTTAGAATATGAAGATATCCTAATCAGAGAAATTTCAAGGTAACAAGAACATTGAAGTGTTTTCATTCTCCTTGTTACAATATTTTACAACCATTGTGATTAACTATCAGCGAGAAAAATACTAAATATTGTTTGTTTAAAATCTTAATAAGAAAAGAGTGTCTATCGGGATTTCCGGTCATCCTACAATACTGACAAATTAAAGACCGTTTGAGCTATTCGACGATGACCGTCATAATACCCACTCGATAATGGCAGTTGCGACGTAACATACATACGGAACAGTATAACAATTATCCGCCATCAGTCGACTTATTCGATGCGCGATGATGGCTGTTGTGGGAGTAGGTTTGAAGAAAGATAAAAGCGACCAAATTGAAATATAACTTCGGTCTATGAAGACATCGACTATTGTACTGAGCTGTATCGACAGGTTTAGATTGCGTGATTACCGTGACTGATGGCTTGACGTTTTGGGTGACAATGCCTAAAATCGTTCTTAATAGAGTAGCTGCGTTCATTCTTCCCTTAGATCCTAAGTTTCTAATCCGTCTTTTCTTGAATCGTCTCTTGGCTACCTAATCTTCTCGATTATCTCTTAGACTTCAGCATTAAAAAAGACTATCTAATTCTGTGATTCCCTTAGCAGTTTGGTGATAAGTTGTCCATTAGAAAATGTGTGTCACGAACTGGTTTAGATAATATTATTCTAAACTAGCAAATCACTGAAAAACTCACTTTTCCTTTTATGGAGTTTGTAGTATATTCTCACTAATGTGACCCATCAGCGATTAGACCCACGACGTGTATGTTTCTTATCGAGGTATTCAATCGAAATCTAGTGGTTTATATATCCGATTTCAGTTAATTTTCAGTAGTACGACCATTACTTTGATATCCTGGGTTCGATCTTTGACACTACTTTTGGGTACCATATTGGAAGTAAACAACTATCTACACATTAGTGTTATTAGTCTCAATGGTTCTGCGTCAGTTTTTTCTTTCTAATGTTAATTTATGTTATCGTTCCATTCCTTTTTCATACACCGTTGTTGTTTGTTTTTTAAAGAACAAATCCACATCAGGCAATCGAGCTTTTTCTGCCACTTACTTGGCAGATATCGAACCAATGTCTATTGATTCATCTGTTGGGTTCGAACAAGTTGGGGGTCATGAAAAGCATATATTAGCATTGAAAGAAAGTATAATTCTACCGCTAATGTATCCTGAAGTGTTTTCAAAATTCAATGTAGATCCACCTCGTGGTGTACTGTTTTCAGGACCTCCAGGTAAGTAGTAATCAGTTTATTCTTGCGTAACTGTAACTTGTTCACTTGGTATCTTTCACTCGACTTCAAACTCCAGTGTTCCTTCATATCTACGTTTCCACTCTATTGTTTCATCATCTTGTCGTACTAACGTGATATGGAGACTGTCCAACACACGTATATACCAGGCTCTATGTTGATGATATCCATTTGATACGAAAATTCTTGGTCTTATGATTACCTGCATAATTCCCATTGGCCATATCGCCTTAGGTGTATACAAGCAGGTGTCAAATTATCCTCGATGGGTTGTTTCACATCTTAATAATCGGTGGACGTCAAGTGAACCTTTTTTTCGAGTCCTCTCTAAGATTTTACCAACTATTAACCTCACACCAACCTTCAAGATGTGTAAATTGGTCATTGTATCCAACTCTTTCACTGCTTCCATTCGATTGTAGAAGGGAAAGTATGTAACGTTCTAATGTATTATGCCGATAAAAATATTAGAATGTTCTTGTAGAAGGGAGATAGTTGTTCATTTTTGGTATCAAGAACATAATGATGAAGTGGTAATAATCAATTTGTTTAAACATGAAGGACAGAAAGGGTGTTTAAGACTATGATTAGATTGAACATATTGCTTTTGTACACAGATTAGTCTGGAATACGTGGATTGCTAAAGTCTCTAAGATTAAGGTTTATAAACTACTGATTTGTAATCATATTGAACTATTTTGCATGATTTTATGGGTGAGTTAAAGATGGGATTCCGGGGAAAGTGATGTGATCAGTTTTTACAAGATAATAATCAGGAGTCGAACTATTGACTGATCTTTTGATAATCAAACAGAGCAATGCTTGGAAATGCATTTCAAGATAGGCTGCTTTGTACGGCCAACATGATCTATTTGCAAAAACAAGTATACATGTCAATAAACATTGATGTGGATGCATTCACTTGTTTACTTTTAATCAAATATATTAATGTATATAAGCCCATATAAACTATTTTGAGTATTTTTAAACTATACTTTTCTTTAGGTACCGGTAAAACATTGTTAGCTAGAGCTCTAGCAAATGAATGTAGTCGTTTAGCTGAAGGTAGCAATAATAATAATAATACCGTAAAACAACGTCGTCCTATTGCGTTTTTTATGCGTAAAGGAGCAGATTGTTTATCTAAATGGGTTGGTGAATCTGAACGTCAACTAAGATTACTATTTGATCAAGCATATCGAATGCGTCCTTCTGTAATTTTTTTCGATGAAATCGATGGTTTAGCTCCTGTTCGATCTTCAAAACAAGTAAGTTCGTAGTCGATTTTCCACAGATTTTTACGAATCTATAAACTTAGGAGATTACAGTCAAATAAAATTCAAAAGTCTTTTGTACCAATAAAAGTTATCTGTTTACTAGCGACTAATTTTGAAAAGTAGTTTTTAAAGTTTCAATGAGAATTTGTGACTAGTTGACTTTAAGTTTGTCCTATGTAAGGCACTTTAAGATGACTATGCAAGATCGTAAACTAAGTTAAGTTAGAAATCTAAACCATTAGATGGCGACTCACTGGTCTGATGATTAAGCACTCACTGTGAAACTTAAACGTCCCTGGTTTCTATTTTTGATTTAGGGTTGTACACCACTAAGAATTATTGTACTAGCATGAAACAGCTGTTCAATGCTTCCTGATTTTCAGTGGTTGTCTATGTATTTATTTATTTGAACACATAGATATTGGTACAAGTAGGCAGCAAATACATATGCAGCACACAAATCTCATTTGATTTGTGTGAGGGCAGTGTCCGGACCGAAGTAGGTGATTTTTTAAGGAGGCACACTCCGAGCCTTCGACCTAAAGTTCTGATCCACAGGGTTTTGGAGCATCGTAAGGAGATGCAGTCCCATGGTAGCCGGTGACCATCAATTGGTTCACACGCCATTTGTTCCTTCAGGATACTGGAATCCATGTGCACCATTTGATTGGAATCAGGGTTTTCCAATTTCCCTAGGTAGATCCTTTATATCCACCAACCCGGTTAAAACGATGGACATTCGCTTTTCATCCTCTCAATTTCCTAAACAATACCCGTGGTGCAAGAAGGCATTGGGTAGGAATTCTCTGGCAGAGGTTATATACGCATAACCATGTGAAAGCATTTCGAGAGGGAGAGCGGACTCTCTCCACTCTCGACCGTACCAGGACAAATGGTTGCTTAATGGTTCTCTAACTAGAGCCCAGTCCATTATGCAAATCACGAAGTTCAGCTGTCTTATTTACCCCTCCCCTTCATACTAAAAATTCTAAAAGTTTTACCACAATCAAATACCATCTTCAATAACTTAGTCGCGTTTTACTCATTAAGCTCGTGGTGATTGTCAAATATGATGATGGTATATATACATATATCAAGTAAGAATAGCACGTTCTCGTTAATGTCTGTCAGTTCATCACGATAGACTTGGTCTTATAAACAGCCTTATCACATACATGGTTAATAAAAAGGTATTACTGGTGCTCATATTCTAGTTGACTGGTATGTATGTTACAAAAATTGTATAAATATTTTACCACACGACAGGAAACAACATTAAGTAGTTTAACGTAAATTAACTAATGGCTGAATAGTCAAGAAAATCCTTTTTTTTTCTAGGTTTATTATGATTGATAGCAGTAGAATTGATGTTTTTATACCTTTATCTGTCTCGATTCCTCTCCTTCTACGTTTTAAGGATCAAATTCACTCCAGCATTGTTTCCACTCTTCTCAGTTTAATGGATGGTTTAGATAATCGTGCTGAAGTTGTGATTATTGGTGCAACAAATAGACCAGATGCTATTGATCCGGCCTTACGACGTCCTGGACGATTTGATCGTGAATTCATATTTACATTACCAACAGAGGCAGTTCGACGTCGTATTCTTGATGTGATTACTGCAAAATGGGATTCAAAACCAGATTCATTGGTAAGTTCACTTTTTGATTAGAGGTGGCATAGGATAGAAGGGGGCAATGATTGTTTATGTGCGAGCTGCTGAAGGATCCCCATACAAGGACGAAACTTCTGTCCACTATTCATTGATTCTTAATGCCACCCTAATTGAGATCAATCCATAACGTATAAATATTAGATTATTGCTTTGCCCCCAAATGCCCTGGTACGGCCGAGAGTGGGGAGAGTCCGCTCTCCCTCTCAAAATGCTCTCACATGGCCACGCGTACATAGCCCCTGCCAGGGAAGTCCTACTCACTGCCTTCACGTGGCGGGTGTGTTGTTTACGAAAATGAGAGGACGAAAAGCGAATGTCCGGCGCTTTAACCGGATCCCAAACCAATGGTGCACATGGGCTCCAGTATCCTGAAGTAACAAATGGCGTATGAACCAATCGTTGGTCACCGGCTACCTTGGGACTGCATCTCCTCACTATGCTCCACTGCCTTGTGGATCAGACGTTTAGGTCAAAGGCTCGGGGTGTGGCCCCCTAAGAAAATCAACTGCTTCGGTCTGGGCACCCGTGCAGTATCACAGCCCTCACACAAATCAATTGCGATTCGTGTGGCGCATATGTATTTGGTGCCTCCTTGTACCAATACCTATGTGTTAAAATAAATAATAAATTGGTTGTTCAGCTTCTACTTTATCTTTGTTTATCACAGTTGACATTGACATCCTAGAACGATTCTAGATGTGGTCTCGAAACTAACCGGTCAGCAGTCAGCCAGTTAAAATACAGTTGTTGTAAACTAATTTCATATTTCAAAATAAAAAGAATGCAAGTTCATAGAATGTAGATTTTTAGAATTTTAGGGTGCTAGAGCCTAATCCTAACTGTATCCTAAAAATCAGAATTCATGTTGTATAACCAACTTATGTATCACAAAGAAGGGTAGAATCGTAAGGCATATGAAGTTTTAACATGATCTTTTTATTATTATAAAGAAGTACCATCTCTAATAGTCTTCTTTCTCCAACCTTGTCTCTGAAGTGTACATCTCTTAATCTCGTTCGCTTCCCGTAGTTACATAAGATACTATTCCTTAGTAATCCAGATATCCATAAATGATTGGAGACTATATCTTCATGAAAATTAGTCAAAATATAAAATCTAATAAATAGTGGTGGTTTCTCGTTGCAGATTAGATTTATCTTTTTCTTATTTAAACACGTACATATTGGTACAGAGGCACCAAATACATATGCATCACATTTCATTCGATTTATGTAAAGGCTTGGATACTGCCCGGGTGCCCATACCAAAGCAGGTGGTCTTCTTATGTCACTACCCGAGCCTCTCACCTAGAGGTCTAATCCACAAGGCAGTGGAGTAACGTTAGGCGATACAGTTCCATGGTAACCGGTGCTTGGTCCTACGTTGTAGCTGACTGACTGACTGGTGAAGAACACTCGGTTCTTACACCATTTTTTCTCTCAGGATCTCGGAGCTCATATGCAACATTGGTTTGGATTGAGGGTTTTCCGACTCCCCTAGCTGAATCGTCTATATCCACTAACCCCGTCAGAGCGCCGGAAATTCTCTTTTTGTCTTTTCAATTTCTCAAACAACACTTCCACCATGAGAAAGCAATTAGTAGGATTTCTCTGTCTGTAGCTGTATACGCGTGGCCATATGACAGTATTTCGATAGGGTTAGCTGATTCACACCACCCTTGATCGTACCAGGGCATTTGGGGGCCTAGATTAGATGTGATTACAGCTTAAATAATCTCTTTACGTTAACAATCGCTATTTCCACCCTGATTGATAATTTCTATTCGTTTCAAGGCTTCCACGGTATAGTGAAGTTCTACTCAAATTCTATACTTTTCTTTTGTTCGTCCGTTTTTTACTTTCTCTTTCTTCTTTTCCAACAAGTTACTTGATCAAATTGCTGCAGCAACGATCAATTTCTCCGGTGCTGATCTCAAAGCATTAACTACAGAAGCATGTTTATGCTGTCTACGTCGATGTTATCCTCAAGTCTATAGTAGTCAGGTGAAATTAGCTTTGGAACATAAATATTTAGTGGTAAGTTGTCCTTTTTTGCTAAATGAACGAATTGCTGTGTTTTTGTTTGTTAAAGATTTCCATATATAACTTTTGTTTCACACGGTGGCATAACGTGAAACGTTTTGGTATTTATTAAGAAATTCGAAGTATTTTTCACTGATTACAAGCACGTCCAGGTTGTATGTATTCATTTCTGCGGCGATTTGGAAGACTCTTCCGGTCTCATACATTGTACAAGCATTCCATGTACCTTAATTAATTTTTGCTCTGGCTGTCAGAAGGGGCATCATCCTCATGAATTCCGAAGGAATTCGGCTTTCACCATGAGGCATCATAACTATTCTAAATGAAGACCTTCTAAATTCCAGGGCAGAGTTTAAATGGTTTGAATTACTTTTTCTGGTTAACGTTTTTTAACGAGTTAGTTTTCTATGGGATGAGGTCGTTAACCCCATGCCCACTCCTCCTCCTTTATTCGGGCTTAGAACTGGCAGTAACCTCAGAGGGGCTCCAACCCCTCACTTGAAATCCTCAAGGACAAAGGAAAAGAGGAAAAACACATTACACCGATAAATGGCGACGGACGTAAGAAGAATGAACGAAAATTGGATAGAACTAGAAAGGAAGGCCCAGCACAGAGCGGATTGGAGAAGGCTGGTTGGCGGCCTATGCTCGATCGAGGGTAACAGGCGTAAGTAAGTAGATTCTTGAACTCAATTCATCATTACTGAAGTTTCCAAGAGGACAGTTTGCGAATTTCGCAATAATATATGTATACAGTCATGATTCAAAGATGACTTCATTAAGTTATTCGGCTTTTTACTTATATTATTTATTCTTTTCCTTTTCTCTACTTTTTTTGTTTTTTTTTTCAAAAGGTCTCTCATTCTGATTGGTTTGAAGCATTACAAATTGTTCATGCTTCAAGTGAACGTTTTGATAGTGATGTATCAGCTTCAAATTTAACACCATCAACAAATGCATTATCTTCTACTATACGTACACCATTATCACCAACATTAGCCAACTTATTATCACATCATGTTAATAAAATTGTAAATTATATAACACGAATATTATTATTGACTAATTCAAGAAAGTTTGATTCCTTGAGTAATAATAATAATAATAATAATAAAGAACTATCTTTATCATCACCTTCATCATCAACAGGCATTGTATATGATAATGTTTCATCGTGTATTATCAAATCGAAATTATTTATTCATGGTAATATATCCGAGGTTATTATGAATGCTGTATGGCATAGATTAGAGGCATTACATGTAAGTGAGATTAATTTCTATTGATGTCATCGAAGCTAAAAGATGAATTATCTAGAATGAACACTTTGTTTTGTATTTATTCACTTAAGACATCAGGTTTTCAAATGTTCCGGTACAGCCGAGAGTGGGGTGAGTTTGATCTCCCTCACAAAATGCTCTCACATGGCCATGTGAATAGAACCATTGATAGGGAATTCCTACTCATTGCCTTCTTGTACCAGGGGTATTGTTTACGAAATTGAGAGGACGAAAAGCGAATGTCCGGTGCTTTAACCGGGTTGGTGGATACGGAGGATTCACCTAGGGGAATTGGAAAACCCTGATTCCAAATCAATGTTACACATAGGCTCCACTATCTTGAATGAACCAATAGTGTATGAACCAATTGATGGTCACCGGCTACTGTGGGACTGCGTCTCCTTACAATGCTTCACTGCATTGTGGATCAGAATTTAGGTTGAAGGCTCCGTATATGGCCTTCTAAGAAATCCACCTATTTCGGTTCGGATACTCGGGACTTACCCCAGCCCTCACACAAATCATTCGATTTATGTGGCGCATTTCTGTTTGGTGCCTCCTACTACCAATGTTTATGTGTTTGAATAAATGGAGTATTCCAAAGTATATTTTCAATCCAATCAATTCTGACTAAAATTTCCAAGTGGACTGTTTAAATATTTCGTAATGATAATTTTTGGGTAATTATTCGCGCATATATTGTGATGGATTTTTGTCAAAAGTGAATTCTAAAAATTAATATTTGTTTTTGAGAAAGATAGTCATATATTACTCCTACTTCCTAATTATTAACAGTGATCATAATAACCTGGAAACCTAGTCGCAGTGCCTGATTGACAACTACTGAAGGTCGGTCACACAAGTTCTGCTTATGGGAAGTTTTTGATGTGTTAGCTCCCTACTTCAATATCCCTTAACACTGCAGACTAAAATCCGTATGGTAAGGTAAAATCTTAGGATTGAGCTTCCCTAACCCTCCTCTTGCATTGTAAAACGACATTAACTCTAGACACACTGGTTATCGGACTGACACATCTTACTACCGTTGCATCTTTGCACAATTGACTGTAATTTGTCTTCGCCACCGGACCACTGATTCGCTTGGATTATCACAATGTCCAAGCTCGACCTCTAGCTCAAGGTAGTGGCTTACGGTCTTCGTGAGATACGTACTTATGTCATAATCAACAAGACATTATCACCAAGCTATTCAAGTCATTTTTGTCTGGATACACTAGTAATTCAAAGTGTTGTTCACGTCTTAATATATTTATATATGTAGTTGTGTGTATTTGTTTTTCTCCTTGTACATCACTTTTTCTACTATCCCTTCTCCTCCTACTATCATTTTTTTCATGTTTAATACCAAGGTATTCACATTAAATTTGGCCAATCTATTTGCATTCCCTACAAGTCTTGGAATGTGTCCAGAAGCGGCTATTGCACAAATTATCTCCTCTATACGACGTACATTAAATAATTCTTCTTTAACCACATTCAATATGAAATCTCAATTAATCAATGGTATTGTTATTGTTTATCTACCATCAATTGATATACTTCTTCATAGTTTACCACAATTAACTGCTACTTATCTTGTTGATAGATTAAATGCATTAGTAGATGAAATCAATTGTGAATTAAATTATATTCCTTCAACATTGATCCATTCTGATTATTTGGAAGGTTCTTTAAATAACAACAACAATAATAATAATAATCGATTACAATATGCTACCATGAAAACTTCACGTCGATTAATCATTATTGGAACATGTACAAAACCACAACAACAATATTCTAATTGTTTCCCTCCAAAAATTGTTCCACCTGTTAACATAGAAAAACATAATTCACCTATTAAACAGTGCAATAATAATAATAATAATACAAGTACAACACATGATAATTGTGTATCAATATTTCCTAATTTAATTGGAAAATCAAATGGTAATAATTTTTATTTATTTATTGAAAATACCCCCAACTCCCCCTTTTATTTATGAGTTAATTCACTGATCGATCAATTTGTTGATTTTGTTCATTTGATTAAGTATCTTTTGTAAGTAACTTTGTGATGAATCCAAAGAAGTTTTGCTGTGAATAAATGGTTGATGATGGTTATCGATCAATCATTATATCATCAGGGTTTATCTATGATCATTGACTAATCTCTGTACAATATGAAAAATCGATGAAATTAGTATTGGAAGATTTGTGGAGGTTGCAGAATATTCATAGTTCAAATCATGTAATGATCTTGATCAAACTGCTATTAAAAACTTGGAAGGGTTAGACAAAGGTATCGTTGTAGAATGGGAATCCTTAGTAGTGCTCATCCGCGATCTTAATTTCGTTAATCGAACTTTGGATTTCTCACGTGCAAATAGTTGATATCTTGATCACTGAGAGAGCATCCAATGGTGCACATGTGTAATTGTAGTCAATTTACGATATTGCACAACTGTCATTCACTGTCTATGGTGCTTTCAGGTTTTTAGTTGTGTTCTTATTAAGATCAGTTCGTGATTTAAACTGTGCGAATCCATTAAAGCTGAAAATGTAATCTCAAATGGAGAGGAAGTGTATCTGTTAAGCGATGTCTAATCTTTAATCGGTCGAAATGGATTCGTTTTTTGAAAATGAACTTTCCAGAACCCGAATGAGAAGAAAAAGGTTAATCGAAGAGATGTAGTATTTACATCTGACTAATCACTATGTAGTGATCACTGTCATGTTTGTCTAATCCTTTAATGTTGATTGCATTGTTCCCAATAGTTTAAATGACTTGAAATCGTTTGCACTATATTAGGTAGTTGGAGGTAGTCAGTATGAAGTCCTCTTCCACCTAGAGTTCACTCTAGTCGACAGTCGCCAGCAAGGTATACTAACTATCTCCAATCAGATTGAGTCAAAACGTTATACACACGATATTGAGTCACCTAGACTGACAACTAGACTGATCGAGTTCAATCAGCACTATAGATTCGACAAACATGACACTACGTACTAGTCAGTAATTTACCAATACAAATGTCTCAGTCCTACCGGAGGTCACACGCGGCCCATCTAGCCTAATGAATAATATCTCGGATTGTATGATTGTTGTCATGCTTTATTATGACTCGTGGCAGTTACCATATTGAATTAATTAATTTATTTGAACACATAAATATTGGTTCAAAGGGGCACGGAATACATATGTGCCACACCAGTCACATGATATGTGTATGGGTGGTGATAATGCCCGGGTGCCCAGACCGAGGCAGGTGGTTTCCTTAGGGGGCCATCGCAGTGGAGTAACGTCAGGAGATGCAGTCCCATGGAAGCCGGTTACCGATAATTTGTCCATACACCATTTGTTCCCTCAGGATTTTGGAGCACATGTGCATCATTGGTTTGGAATGAGGGTTTTCTGACTCCCCCCAGGTGGATCCTCTATATCCATTAACTCGGTCAAAGTACTGGATATTCGTTGTTCTTCCTATCAATTTCACAAACAACACTTCAACTATTAGAAGGCAATGAGTAGTACTTCTCTGTCAGTAGCTGTGTACGCGTGGCCATGTTAGAGCATTTGGAGTGGGAGAGTTAACTCTTCCCACCCGGAAATTAAAGATAGTAGTTAATATGGTGCTTTATCTATAACGAAACTTTGTACACCCTCTACACAGTTGATGAACTCTACTGGTCACGACTTTTCACTAAGATACGGAGAAATTAATTCTTTTCAACAATTTAATCACACTATATTAATGAGATGTAAGAACTTGAACTAATGTACACATGTATCAAGTTCTACGTTGCTTTTAACTGACGACTATTATACATATACAGCAATATATATTAATATCGAACCTTATCAATTCTTTATTCGTTCTTATTTTTCTCTTTAAAAAATATATTTAGATGTAAACTGTCGAGTCACTAGTGATATGAATCTTATCGATAAATCTATATCATCATCACATTCATTGCATTTAAGATCTTCACCATCTTCGATTGTTCCCAATACAATGCATCATACTAATGATAGTAATGGTATTAATAATACTAATAATACTAATACTACTACTATTACTAATAATAATGGTACTACTACTACTACTATTGGATTGAATGAACACTTAATGAAATATACATATGACCATGATTTAAATAGTATTAAATTTCAATTTACTATTCAATTACCAGAATGTCATAAATTATCTAATACTAAAATGAATTCTTACATAACACCATCATCATTAATGAATACAGATTTTATTACAAGTAATACTACTACTATACATGATACTCCACTTCCTCCTCCTCCTCCTACTCCTACTACTACTTCTACCAATAATAATACTACTTATAATTATTTATTAGATTATACAGATATAGATAATGATTATTTAAAAAATATTGATAATTCATTACATAATCAATTATATATAAATCATATATTACATAAACTATTTAATAATAATCATACAGAATTTATACATTTAGAATTACCTAATAAAGAGGAAAGATTAACATTTTTTACATCAGTTATTATTAAATGGCCTCAATTAACATCATTGGAATTATTAGATATACGTGATAATAAATCTATTATTCAACAACAATTATCTAATACACAAATGTAAGTTCCATATTATTATCTTATTTTTATTGATTTGTAAAGGATATGTGAAATATTCTCAAGTGTTTAATAAGCTATTGTTGTTGTTGTGATTGTGGTTGTTTAAATATATGTTATCTGAGTTCAAGTGTCATGAGTGAGAACTAAAGTGAAGTTCTACAGATGCTGTTGCGGAGCCGAGAATGAAGTCATTAGTTGGTGCGGTGTCTGATACAGGAAGGATATGTTAAGTGAAGTGTGTCGGTTAGAACGGTGTTATGTGTAGCAGTTACTGAGTGCCAGGTGGATATCGGAGTAAGTTGGTTGGCAGATCGACAAAGCTATGGAGGTCAAGCCACCGGCGGGATTGATATAACAATGGGTAGCGTGGCACGGCGAGCAGAACAACTGATTAGGTGATCGTTTAAAGGATGAACAAGTGTGAAGCATACTATTTATGCTGACAGATATGTAGGTAGTATGTAACACTAATTGGAAGTGAAATGCCTGGCAGCAGAACATTAAGAAGATTGAATCGAGGGGAAAAGGAAGGGAAACAGAGCTATTGCAATAATAACAGAACAACTGAAGGAAGATGTGCAAATAATTTATTTAATCTGGTCCTTATATTTTACGAAGATATTGTAATTTTACATTAAACAATGTTAGTTTTCCCTATCCGAATTCTCATTCATTACATAAGTACTAGGTAGGTAGTAGGTGTATTTCATAGAATGGGTGAAATATGCATTTTATCATTAGTAGATTACCGAATTTGACCGTTCAGTAGTTTCATCATCACGGAAAACGAATGCCTGGCCCTTAAACCGGGTTGTTGGGTACGGTGGATTCACTTAGGAGTTGGAAAACCCTTGTAAACAAATGGTGTACGTGGATTACAGGATCCTGAGGGAAGAAATGGCGCATGAAGTTATTGTTAGTCACTGGCTACCATGGGACTGCATTTTATGACGTTACTGTATTGCCTTGTGGATTAGATTACCCTATCAACGGCTCGGGGAGTAACTCCTTGTTTCTGTTTAGTCATCCTGGGGGTTTGCGGGCTCTCACACAAATTTTGTAATGCGCTTATTTATTTTTATTCCCCTTCGTTTTTTTATTTATATAAATAAATATCTAAATAATAGACACCTGTTTGGTCTTAGTTTAAAACATGACAATAGGCAGGAGGTATGTATTTATTACGAGAAGTCACAAAGTATTTACATAATACATATACCTAGCCTTCAATCGTCCATTTGCATGTTCTGGTGTGTTCTACAATCTGAACTGTGTTTTCCACTAACCTCCACGGTATCTGCCAATTATGTACTTTCGATGCACTGAAACTTTTCACTCTGTCCGACAATTTTTGCAACTTCGACACTGAGTTCTGCTACATACTACTTACATACATCTTTGTCAGTAGCGTCCACTACACTAGTATGTATATCAACAAAATTAATTAGCAAATCTTATTATGATAAACACAGATCGTACATTTATATTCTGGACTAAGATCATGACTAAGTACATATTCTACTTCCACCAATTTTGTGCTTCGTCTAGAGTTTTTGAGCCATCGTTGAATCTTGAGGTGGCACTGAGCTCTTTGCTTTCTACTAAGGTACACGATATGCATAGACTCGCCCAACCTATCAATATACATCAAGTCGATAATACTTAGTCAAGCATAAAATCTCAATAAACCCATTTAATGAATATTCACAGCTTTGTAAAATGACTTGTTAACTCCTGAATTGTTCACCTGATGGTTTGATCCTATACACGTGTATTCAACGTTTAGATGTCTAGTTTTAATAGTTATAGAGTTATCTAACGTTTTGATATTACAAATTTGTGTACTTAACGTCCAGCCGCTAATGTGTGTAAGGCTCAAGATGCTACATATTCGTTCAAGCCTGACTCATGCAGAATGGAATTCGAACTTGATATTTAGTGGTTGTGGATCGAATGATTTAACTATTAAAACACATCTCTACCTGATGATCGATAACCATATGTGAATCTAACATATATAGGCAAATAATTCCATTATTAAAAGCCTGGGAATGCTTTTCGCATCGTTGTTGAAATTTGAACAGCCACCAATAAACAACACAATTCACCTACTGAGAGCCGATAAAACCTCTGGAGTCTAATATGTTGCTTAAACTTTATTGAGTACAATCTATCAATATTATAAATATTTATTCACTCAATACATTAACTCATTTTTCCTTCCTCCCTTTTTTCTTTTTTTTTCGTCGTTTCAGACCTAGTCCACAACCAGCTGTTGAAAAAGATGATGATGATATTTCAGGAAAGTACAAAAAAGATCGTTATCCAGTAAATCTTTCCCCTGAAGAATTAGCTATTATTGAATCTAGGGAAATGCAATTATTTCGTCGTCTTCGACAAATTCTACGTAGAGTTGTTGCACATTTAGCAAGTTTTCGTCGTTTCGCCGTATTCACTAGACCAGTTCAATTGGATGAAGCACCGGATTATTATGATGTTATTAAACAACCAATGGATTTAGGTCTTATACGTGATAAAATCGATTCACATCAATATACTAATGTAACTGATTTCATGAAGGTAATTCTAAGTGTTTCTTGTTTTATTTACCAAAAGTTTAAAATTTTTATTTATACTACGTATTGAATCTATCGAAGCATCCAAATCACCCAATTGTGATATATGCAAAACGATTTGTCTAAAACAAGCGGTTGTTTATTGAATAATATACATAAATTAGTTATAAACCTCAATTTGTAAGGTGTCTGTGGCGTTTGCCGCGTCTTTTTGTCTGAACATACGCGAAGAAATTGCAAGAAATACAACTATTTACTGAATATTAATAAGTAGTATGAAACTGCACGAAAGAGTCGAAGGAAGTAAATGAGGACAGAGATCGTAAAACAAACTTAACATTACATCCATCACGGACCAATTGAGGTTAGACTAGTATCTCAACGAATACCAGTTTATTTGTCTAAAGATCAAGCGTTCGCTCATATCACCGGAGGTCTTGGGTTCAATTCCTATTTGAGAAGTCGTGGGTACGCACTACTGAAGAGTTCTGTACGAGGTCGAAACGGTTATTTAGTGCTTCTAGGTTTCAAATAGTTGTTCTAATTAGATCTGTTCATGATTTCTATGATAACTATCATACCCAACTAAGATGATTTACTTCAACGTTACATGATAAAAAGAGTGCCCCGTGCATCAATCATAACGAATACTAATAAAAACAATATCGATATCTTTCTATGATCTTCTACACTCACTTTAAATTGTCCTGCTACCTGTCGCTACTTTGTTTTTTTTCTACTGTTAATGGGTGCGTACAACAATCTGTTTAATTTTTAGGTTTCTTCAAGTGTTCCTTGTCTAGAACATCAATAAATGTTGATGTGTTTGGATGATGAACACCAATTTATTTTTTTAAACACGTAAGCATTGGACAAGGTGGCACCAAAAAGATATTCGCCACATAAATCATTCGATTTGCGTGAGGGATGAGATACCCCTCGAGGAAGGAAATTTTTCTCAACAAAATTATAGATTTTTTTCAGTCTAATTTATGAAAATTAGATTGATTCGAATTCTGCATTTTGTAGATCTCTTAATTCAGATATCTTCAAAATAATAATGATGACAGAGAAAGAAATATTCATTTAGCCTTATTAGTGAATTAAGAAACCACTCTAGACTATAAATATGTCAGCTATTTTGGCTGATTATGTTCGTTCGCCTTTTTTATCACTTTATTGAGTATTTCAGAATGTAGTACAATAGGTTTGCTTTTTTCATTTGAAGTAATGTATACTATCGAGACTACATCAATAAAATAAAGTAAACCTTCCATAACTTCATTATCATAGATGAAACTAGATGAGATTTCAGTAGTTGAGATCATGAGTTAATTGAATCTAGATCACCATGAGAAACCCGGGAGCACTGGAAGGCCGTTCCTAGTATAGGACTCCTCAGTAGTGCACATCAACGACCCCACCCCTCGCGACATTCGAACCCAGAACTTATCAGTATCGCGCGCGAGCGCCTAACCATTAGACCACTGAGCCGGTCAGCATCCGACGGTGTTAATGTCTAATTTCAACCAATCCACGAGAGATATACTTAAAAATCTGTTCAATCGTGTATAGAGATTATGCTTAGATGATATGATTGAAGAGAAATTAATCACTATTGAAAAGTGTCTAAGAGGTTATCTTTGAAAATTTACCAATAAATATGTAATAATAATGATAATATCAAAGTGCGCCTTAATGGAGAAAAAATCTGTTTTCATCCGACTTAGATTAAAAGGTTATGAAGTATCTGGTAAGATCGATTCTCGACAAACGGCTTCATCCAGGCTTCATTGAAATAGACTTATCCAGCAGCAAAACTAGTCTCAATATATCGAACAGGTTGCTTTTTACGACCTCCAAATGTGGATAAACACTCACCTTATGTTACTTCCAGTTGTGTATATTAATTTATGTGTAGGTGCTGAAGCACATACATTCTCCCCCATTATAACATCTCTGTCTATCTCAGAGTACAATAGGCTACTCTGTAATAATTTATATTCATTTTAAATGGCTTTCGATATATTTGTTACGTTTATTCCATCATTTTTCTCACCATTACGAATACTCAATATGTTGTTTACAAGTACAAACTGAACAATGGGTCATTTAGCAGTTTATTCTTATACTATGGTTTATATTAAAAGGTCATTTCATTGCATTTTGTTTATTTTTGGCTTTTATTTATGTCTCCATACTTTTACAAGGATGTAGAATTAGTCTATCTAAACGCATTGGAATATAATCCACCGAATATACCACGAAGTCGAGATATTCGTTCTAGAGCATCTGAATTTTGGGATGAAGCATGTTTACGTATGGAAGAAGAATTACAACCTGTTGATTTGAATGAATTATGTGAAGAGGTATGTATATCAGAATTGTTATTGCTTCTGTCTGTACGACATGTACGCACTACATTACAATCATTTACTACTCTACGGAAGGGTTGAGATGTTTACACTTGGTTGGTTACTGAGCATTGTCATGTTTGTTCAGCCCCTTCAATGCTGATGGAATTCTGTCGGTGAATTTTCAATAAAGCCACCAACCTGAGTGACTCGTGTGATGTGCTGAGATGTTAGTAGCATTGTATAAGTTACATAGATTTTTACTGAAACACACGAGGAAAGTTCTGTTCAATTTGTTTCTTTATAGGTTGACAACTAGATGTAAATTTCTTTAAAGTTGTTGTTTACTTGTTTGTGTATATGCTGAATTTAATGCACGCATTTAAATTGCAATTGATTGTAGGCAACTCAAGCACGTGCAGCACGTTTGTCTCATGCTGAACTAACCAAAACTCCTTCGACCTCGATGCGTAATTCAAAAATCAAAGGATCAGAGCATCAATACTTCAAGGGGACGGATCGAACATCTCAAGGGACTGGTTTGAAGCCATCATTACCTCTTCCACAAGGTTATCGTTATAGTCGGAGGTTGCATGTAAGTGGAGATAGTGATTGTAATGGAATGAAAACTGGGAAATGTAGTAATTTATATATTGTCTTTGAGGAACTGTTATATGCAAGTTTCTTAATCGTTTCTTGCCTTTTTTGGCCCTTATATTATTGATGGAGATATTAATTATTCATGAGAATATTACCTTATGATCCTGACACTTTAAGTTGATGCAGAATATAGCTTCACTACTGGATCGTGTGTTTGTCTTATTTTCAAGTCACCTTTTAAATAAACCTTTCATCACTTCCATAAAAAATTTTCAACGGTCACTAGACAGAATGAATGACGCAGTAGATTCTTAACTTCAAAATCATCAGGTTAGATTCATTTGCATATGACTTCGCTATTTTATCCCACATACAACAACATATGCAGATGAAAACAGTCAGTGCAATAGTAGCCTCTGAAGCAGTAAGTCTCACGATTCACAATGGAAAATATGAAATCTTAAAATACGGCACACCGAGCACAACTAAACCATACCTGAAAGAGAAGCTCTGGAGGAGGTGAAAACTTTGGCATAGCCGGGTGACATGATTGATGAACAAGGAATATCAGATGCAGATGTAAAGGCACGATTGTCTAAACAAGGACAGCATTCCTACAGCTGATGAATATGTAGAATTCTGAATGACAGTCAGCCAGTACCAAAACCAGAAGTTTCAGAGTAAACCACTGCCCCCAAATGCCCTGGTACGGCCGAGAGTGGGGAGAGTCCGCTCTCCCTCTCGAAATGCTCTCACATGGCCATGCGTATATAGCCTCTGCCAGGGAAGTCCTACTCACTGCCTTCTCGTGGCGGGGGTGTTGTTTACAAAAATGAGAGGACGAAAAGCGAATGTCTGGTGCTTTAACCGGATCCCAAACCAATGGTGCACATGGGCTCCAGTATCCTGAAGTAACAAATGGCGTATGAACCAATCGTTGGTCACCGGCTACCATGGGACTGCATCTCCTCACGATGCTCCACTGCCTTGTGGATCAGACGTTTAGGTCAAAGGCTCGGGGTGTGGCCCCCTAAGAAAACCACCTGCTTCAGTTTGGGCACCCGTGCAGTTTCACAGCCCTCACACAAATCAATTGAGTTTTGTGTGGCGCATATGTATTTGGTGCCTCCCTGTACCTATACTTATGTGTTAAAATAAATAAATGAATAAATAATAGAGTAAACCACTGGACAGTACCACTGTACGGAGCTGAAACTACTATAACTGCTACAACCATAATCAAAAAGGTACAGGCACTTAAGTACTCAAGGTTCATTGATCCGAATCTAAAAGCAGTAACCTACGGTGACAGAACAAACCAGCTGCCAGGAAGATAACAGAAAACGCTGGAGGTGAACCGGTCATACTATCCGGGAATGATCAGAGTGCATCACAAAGCACCCGCTAACCTGAAATCATCAAGGCAAAAGGAAAAGAGGAAGACTAAGTAAGACATCGATACGGGAATTTGAAGCAGACATCCAAAACACTTAATAACAACTGGAAGGGAAACCCAACTAAATCGCTGGACAACCTACAAGAGCGATGATGTGCTCTGGCTTAAGACTCCAAGGCCACTTCCATCTAGAGTGTCATACAGTTGCGTTTTTCACTCAGCATACATGTCATCCGAATCAGACACCGGCACTGTCAAGAGCGACTTCGTGAATTCAACGAAATGAATCGTTGAGACCGTCAGATTGGAATCATTGGATATAAGGACTCAATACCATTTCCACCATCACTCACTCGAGCATGAAAATAGCTAACAACCGTGTCATTTGGTGATCGCAACCATTTTTGTACTCGCTTACCTTTTAGAATGTCTACTTTTTTCAAGCTCTGCTTTATCTACCAAGCCTATTGCCCCGCTTACTGAAGTTTCGGTATGACATACTGCTTTAGTACCGCCATCCCTTGAAATGCTGATAATGGAGATTCCATGATCTTCTTTAACAAGTTCCCAGTCATAGGGATTATTGGTTGTTGTATTGAACCATATATCTTGGTACTCAAAATGATCAGTCACACTGATAGTGTCTAAGGAAACCCCTCCAATATCATAGCTCTGAGGGGCGACATAGACAATCTTAGGTTTGCCGTTAGCTGTCAACTTTTGGCTACTTAGTGGTTTCTATAAGATCATCATTCAGTTAGTGATGAATTTTTGCAAAAACTAAATTAAGATAAACCTTTGTTTATCCACCTTTGCATTCAGGGTGAATCACCTATTCTAGAACTCAGTGACATTCTTCAATTACAGTCATCTAACAGGCGTCGTCGTACGATTTCTCCTAATTCTTCTTTGAAAAGTCCATCAAAGTTACAATCAAGTGAATTAGACTGTGATATTGATACATGGTCATCTCCTGGTGTAAGTTAACAAATAAATTGTAACTTTTGAGCCATACTTTTATATAAATTTTTCGTGATTTAAAACAATTCATGGAATCATTCTAACAATGAAATAAGAGATTTATGGAGATGCTCGTGTTAACGAACTCTATTAGTATCGTGGTGTGAGCTACTTATATCCACATAAGTAGTATATAATAGTACTCATGTATAGAATGTATTTCGGTAGAAGATCGAGAAGGAAGGCACAGAAGCGGAACACAGTTTGTATGGAAATGAACGAATAATGAAATTTGAGACGATGGAATGATATTTGCAAAAGGAAGTATTGCAAATGAAGTATTTAATGTATGCTTCTCACATTTTAGTGAGATATTCTGTAATTTCGTGTTCAGATATATTCCATTGCCCCATTCGTGTTCTTGTTCACTACAGTAGTAATACAGGAGTGTCACAATTAATCTTATACCAATTGTAGACGTCTCGAGTTTCTCCATAATTGTCTATTAGTCTATGTTTATTACATCATAAAACAACCGCTTAAAACATTGACTGGTATCATATATTGTATTGATATATGTCTTTATTAGTCGCCACTACTTTTTGGTTCAAAATTTATTGATCATAAATAATTTTAATAATCAGTAATGTGTAATTTACTTACAATATGCAAATACCTTGTTTATTCTAGTAAAGAAGGTGATGTCTATTGCTGTTGAAGGTATGTAGGCGGTTGTTATTTTCTGACTGCTCTTATCGTGGAGCAATACTTCTGCAGGTACCTAAGAAGGAATTCAGCTTAGTAGTGGTCTTAATGACTGAGGAGACCTTATCACTGACAACAGAAATATGTAGTAGAAGGCAAGATGTAATACTCTTAGGACTCACCTTCTCCATCTGTTATGAAAAAACATCAATATTCAAGATGCTCATTATTTAAGGGCGGACACCTTACTTCTGTCACACACTTAAACCTTAGGCTTGCTTCTTTTATTCTTACTATCCCCCAGCCTACTCATTTGGCATCATAAGACCCAAAGGAACGAGTGTTGTAGCTGTATTGCGTTATCACTGTGGAGAATCCAAACAATCACTCCAAGGTTCAAAAAATTTGAGAGTAACACTCGTTTTCACAATTAAAATTTCATTAAAAACGATGACTGATAGAAAATCCATTTATGAATATATCAACAACAGGATGAAAATATCATACCCATCGAACAAGCTCATGGTTATTTTTACTCCTTATCCCAATGTGTACATGCACCTAACTGATGAGTTCTATACATGGGAAAAAGGTGCGTATTATGAATTCCACTGGTATTCAACGTATATCTCTTCTTAATGGATTCAGTCAGTCAGTCAGTCAGTCAGTCAGAAACAACGTGGAACTTCGTACGTACGTACGTACGTACGTACATCAGTTCGAGTTGCCATACCACATTAGCACAGAGGTTCAGTTATCGTCTCAAATCCCGTAGTGGCAGAGTAGTGAAAGTATAAGTAGTGATAGGAAACGTTAAGGTTTGATGATGTTATTTAAGGAGTATAGTCCAGTGGAATATATTTGGAAAGAAAATAAAGGACATGGAGAATTCAGAAGATTAGAGTTTGGGAAAACACAGAGAGTGGATGCACCTGCGCCATTGCAAACGATTTTTGGCCATGTCATTCAAGGTCTCTAACCATCGGTTGCTATCATTTCGTGGTCCCCAACCAGGTAGTCTACATCTACCAATATGGCTCAGTCCACTTTTCAGTGACTTCATGGATTTCTGCCATGTTTTGGCCTGGCCGCCCCTAGCTTTCTTCCAACCTATTCCTACACCACAAAACATCGAGTAGAGAGTCTTTATAAGGATAATGTACTTCTTTGGTACTCCTTTCAGCGACAAACACTGCCATAGAACCTCACGATCAACAGAGTCAAATGCCGCCTTAAGATCGAGAAATACTATCATTGTGGGGTGTCTGAATGTGTGTTTATGTTCTAGAACCTGGTTAGACGTCGAAGTATTTTTGAAGCTAATATTTTAGACACTATATTAGTCAAACTATTAATTATAAACCTCTTTTTGGACGTTTATGCATGTTTATATCATTTTTATTCACTTATATATCCTAGTTTTATCTTTTCTTATTCAATTAAACAGCCTACTTTGATAAAATCACTTGAAGAAAATGAATCTGATCCTTCTCAATCAATATTCAATGGACACTGTATGTTTTATTCAATACTTATCATTATTAATATTATTATTAATCACTGATTACAGAATAGATCAGCTCGCTTGTAACCAAATAGATGTCCATGTATTAGGGCTTTTATGCTGCAAATGTATGTTGTGTTTGTGATAGTATTGACAGTCGAACTTGTTTGAAAAAAAAACGCAGATTTTATCAATTTATATCATACCACCTTAATATGAACACGGATTATATGTGACAGGCATTTGTGTGTTGATCCATCACTACTTCCTACTTGAGGTCCTAGATATGATGATGTCATTTAATGACTTATGATATCATCAAAGGAGTGTCACTGTGAATATAGTTAAAATTTATGTTTAGTAATTATTGGGGAGATACAAAAAACTCCTCGAAAAAAAGCCAAGAAATGCTCTTAAAACATTGAGAGGCATCTTATCTAATAAGTATTCACTAGAAGTTTTGGTAGAAACATCTATAAAGTGAAAAGTCACATGTCGAGTTTTTGAATAAATGATTACTTATACTGTTAATATGTTTAGTAGCATTCCAGAATTTTCGGGAAACCCACGGACATCTAAATTACTATAAAAACTCTAGATTTTCCGTGCACAAATGAACCTTTTGATTATAAAGCGTTTCTCCCATATCTCGAGCCTTTTCTCCCCTGTTCAAGTTACTGTGTAGATCTACTGTAGGGGTTACTAGAAGACCTTAGGAACCCAATCTAACGTTCAACTAGCAAGACTTATCACTAATCAGTTCAAATAAATCTTAAACATGAATGTTAATTACAATTATTATATCGTTGTAAATATAGATAACTCCATTTTGTTTTCATGCATAACAGGCGAACCAATACAAAATACGATTACATCACTTTTAATAAACCCTATAACTTATCATACTCTTAGAATATCATCAGATAAAAACTGAATTATGATCATAAATTATAATAATGTACAATAAAACTACAACTTCTTATATATGTGTTTTTAACCAATCATATTGGAGAACCGATTAGACACTTTATTCTGATTGGTTCACTGAACGAGTAAATTAACCAATAAGATTCTTTCCACATCATATCATAGTATAAGTCATTGTCGGAGCTGGAGGAATATCTGATTGATTACCTGTCCCATCTGATACAACTATTATATATTAAAACTATCGTGACAGTTCGAAGAATTGGATTTTTCCAAGACTTTTTTTGGCTTGATTAGTAAATTTACCGATTTATTTATTGATTTTAATTATTTTTTTTTCCAGCGTCAAATTTATTTAAATCACCACTTTCGGAAGATTCATGTAATCGGCAACGATCCAGTCCGAAATCTCATGATGATCAATCATTTGATCAAACACCATCACCTACTCTTAATATTACTGCTAATACTAATACTAGTACTGCTACAACTACAACTACAACTTGTACACCCATTCAAATAGATTTGAAAAAGTTAAATCATTTTCTTAATGAACTAGTTCTACAAACCGATGGTTGGCCGACATTACAGCTGATCAATTTACATACAGATTTTTCTAATTTAATATTTTGTAAATATGCACATGTTACCGATAGAATGTCATTGTCAGATGTAAGTTTATTTTAAGAAATAAAAAACAATCTTTGTATGCAATGCTTAAAATTTCATTTGGTAGTGATTAGTTCTTTGAAAAAACAACAAACCACACTACACTGAATTCGATTCACTGGGAGTTTGGTAGTGTATTAAGTGATAAGTATAAGGGCTTGGATGCGGCCCGGACAATCATTGGCATTGGCTGTTTACGCGTGACCATGTTAGAGTATTTCGAGCGGGATAGATGATTCACACCATCCTTGACCGTACCAGGTACTGCCAGATAGGAGGTTGTTCAATTGCCAGTATAAATGCCATGATAGTGATGTATATTCAGTTGATGCAGAGTCCCGATTCCAGGATGAAACGTATATCTTATATTTTACATTTAGACGTAATCTATAAAGTATAAAACAATCATCTTAGAGCGTCAGAATTTTCGTTCCTAAAAATAATCCAACGTGTTTAAAATATGATTCGGTTTTCGTTTTACTCGACTGATGTTATACACCTGTTTTTCTCAATGTTCAATTAAACATTGAAACGTGGGATTGATAACCTGAACAGTTTTTATATATAAATATAGTTGAATTAGTGAGTCGATTTAAGCCGACCCACCATTTGAAATCTGAAAACACTAGATGGTCTTTTCGTCCTTGTATGGGAATCCTCATCAGTGCTCGTCCACGATTCCACACGCGGATCTCGTATTCAGGATGTCCGGCTTTGTACTCAAACGCTGAACCTTTAGACCACTGAGCCAGCATTCACTATTATCTTCAGTGCCGTCCAGTGCTTTGAGGTTTTCTAGTTTGAATCAATTCATGAATTCAGCATTTAAAATTATTTTTAATAGTTTAGGTCATAAGTCGATTAAAGCTAGAGCACTATGGGAAACCTGGAAGCACTGAACTGCCGTTTCGTCCAATTGTGAGACCTATTGGTCTCGCTCATGAACTCTTAATATCTAGAATATTTATCCGGAATCCAACGGTGTCTTCAGTAAGTTACTATCTCAGAACGGACTTGGTTGAATCCCACTGGTCACTGCTTTTCATTAGAACCTCAGGAAATACCTCTTGAAGCCAGTCACTAGTATGCATATATGTATGTATATTCATTCATTTCATTTTAACACATAAGTATAGGTACAGGGAGGCACCAAGTACATATGCGCCACACGAATCTCAATTGATTTGTGTGTTTATATATATTTGTATAATTTATTTTAATACATTTTGTCATTGTTTTATTTCTATTATCCTTTTTCCCATTTTCTTTTCTTTTTCTTTATCATTGATGAATTTGTTAGGATTTTGAGAAGATATTTGCCATTTATCAAAATGCACACTTTTGATTATCCATAATACACATACCATATTTAGGTGTTTTCTCAATTCATTATATTAATATGATTGTATTCACATTTTGTAAACCTCAGGTAGGTTTAGGTTATATTCTATATATTCCTATTTGTACATTAGTATTACCAATACTAGATATTATGGTTCATGGTGACATCATCATCATCATCATATGTGGGCAGCTTTATCATTCTCCTGATACTTCCTCATTATGATCATTATCATGTCCACATTCTTGTTGTTATTGTTTTGCTCTGCTTTCCTTTCCCTTTTTTTCTCTCTTTTTTTGTTTTTTTGCTAATAAGATTTTTTTTCTTTTTTTTGATAAAATAAATTAATAAATAGTTTTTGTGTAATGCTTTTTTTTGTTTTCTTGTCCTTCTCAATATGTGAATACGTGTTTTATACATTAAATAGTTATATTGATTTCCTATTTGTAACCATGTTAGGTATTATTATTATTATTATGATTTTTACTAGTGTTTTTCTCTTATTATAATGCGTATATTATTAAACTTATTAATAAATAAGAAGAGATATCTGGTTCCCTGAACATAAACACACAACAATAACAACAACAACAGCAATACACATATACACACAAAGAAAGTAAGTTTTATATGATAGTTTATTGCATTTTTCCATTTGTTTTTGTTTTGCCTTTTTGTGTAACACGAGTTAATACTCAATGCCTTTTCTTCTTGTTCTTCTTTCTCTTTGAATCAATACCCAGTTCCAAGTGCACCTGTCTGTCTGTCTATCTATCTATCTATCTATCTATCAGTTTGTCTGTCTCTCTTACTCATTGTTACTATGCCTATAGTTTATTTAAGGGAATATATTATTCAACTGAAAACTGTGTACAATCTTATTCGTATTGTTTTATTATTAATTATTTTACAGAATATTTCACTAATGCATAGCACTATTACGTAATATCACTATTTCATAATAGTAATAATATTAAATTTTATATTAGGTATATATATATTGATTATTTAGGTATAAGCTCTTGCTCTGGCTCTCTTACTTGCTCTCGCTCTCTCTGTTTATTTGTTTGGTTTTGTCCTATCTGTTTCCATCTATCTATGTATCTATCTATCTATATGTGTATATGTATATGTATTGTAGGTAATTTTCTCAATTATTGATTGATTGATTGATTGATTGCGAATTTAGTTCTCTTGACACTTGATATTAGTTCAATAAAGAAAAACAAAAACGAAAATAGAGAAAAGAAAAAAAAAGAAGCAACTAATTATTAGTAATTTTCTATTGATATAAATAGGTCTTATTCAATTTTTAGGTGAATCCGTTTTTTTTTCTCTTTTCATTTTGTATTTTTTACAATAATTAAATGTTGATTATGTAATCATTGTTGTTCTATTTTATACATTTATGGTGTTGTTATTACTGCTACTACTACCATGACTTTGTTAATTGTTTAATCAATAAAATGATAATGAATTTTTGTAAACATTTTTCTATGTTTTGAACCTATAAGTCTTGGTATAAGGAAGCACCAAATAGATATGAGCCATACAAATCACTTGATTTGTGTGAGAGCTGTGATTCTGTCTACGTGCCAAAACCGATTTAGGTGTATTTCTTAAGGGGTCACACCCGGAGTCTTTGACTTAAAGGTCTAATCCACAAAGTAAAGGAACAATATAAAAAGTTGTAATTCCATGGTAGGCGGTAACCGACAATTGGTTCTGACGGCATTTGTTTTCATATGATCTTGTAGTGCATGTTCACCGAATGGTGTGGAATCAGAGTTTTCTAACTGTCCTATGTGGATCCTCCATTTTCTACCAACCCAGATAAAGTACTGAACACTCCCTTTTCGTGCTATCAAGTTCGTAAACAACATCTGTGGTGCTCGTTTTCTTAGGGGGTCACACGCGGAGCATTTGACTTAAAGGTCTAATCCACAAGACAGTAAAGCAACGCCAGGAGATTCAGTTTTATGGTAGACGGTGACCAACAGTTGGTACTTACGGCATTTGTTTCCATAGGATCTTGGAGCCCATGTACACCAGTGGTTTGAAATCACGGACTACGAAGTCAGGTGAACTATTCATTTCCACCGACCAGGATAAAGCACCGAACATTCGCCTTTCGTCCTGTGAATTTCGTAAGCAGCACCTGTGGTGCGAGAAGGCTGTATACGCGTGGCCATGTGAGAGCATTTGGAGAGGCAGAGAGCGAACTAACTCCCCCCAACTTCGGCCATAACAAGGCGCTTGATGCCCGCTATTGACGAATGATGAATGAGACTGAAATACATAAAACCAGATCGTAAGATGAATAACATTATTTATTATATCTAGTTGAGTAAATTGACCATACATTAGTAGAATCGCGAATTAGAATGATGTATTCGTTGGAAGTAAACTTTTTTTCTATATTTCAATTTTTATAGCAGTTGCGATCAATGAAAAGAGAGTAAATCGAGAGCGAGAGTAGACTGCCCCCACTCTTGACCGTACCATAACATTTATGAGCTTCCATCTTCATATATTTTACAAAATTGGTGTTTTCTGTTTTTTTTATTGATTTGGTCACTGGAAGGAAACTCGTTTATTAGAGATAGGTAGTTCTTTTGATCTAATGGAATAGATTGTGCTTACTATCATCCAGAAAATCGAATAGTTTAGATCAGTGTCATTAGTAGATTATTATTTCCGAAGAATAGAGTTTTTCTTGTCATAGTAGATGTACTGCATTTGAGATCCTCGTCAAATGGCTAGGGTAAATTGTTTGATAATAAATCGATTAGACAACTATGACCTTAACGTTGTTGCTGTCGGTAAATTCGACCTTCCACCAATAATGATCCACGTGAAGAAGTTTTCGATTGATGAAATAGAACCAATTATTTACGTTTCATATGGCTTATTCAATAAGATGTTTATTTATTATATAACACTACAAGTCTCTGTCAATCGAAACTTTGTGTTAACTTACTACCGAGGTTGTAAATTACAACAGTCTACAGATTACAAAGAAAAAGACCAAATATCTTAATATTCGAATTCAATAGAATACCACATCGAGTCAAGTATGTAAATGGCATTTGTGTGGTACGATTGTCAATTACAATAGTAATACACAAAACTTTCTATTTGTTTGTTCTCAAGCTACAGTAGGAAAATCATGATCGTTGTAAAAACGTTTATTGGTCAACCGTGTAGTGATATATGTTTACAATCATTCATATATATTCATCTTTTCGCTTAGATAGTAAAGTCGTATGTTAAACAAATGTCATGTGTTTTATTCCCTTGATATGAAAGCCATTCACGTACGCTTTTCTGTTTATTGATATTTGATTGACCCACCGTATCAAGTGAATGCTATTATCTAATCACTTAAAAGGATTTACATCATTGAAGATGTATCAGTAGTGGGTTTTGTGGATGATATAGTAATTTTTATTAGCTGAGATCGTGGATGCGCATTTCTGAGGCTTCGCATGACAGGAAGAAACGAGCGTTCAGTTCTTACAGGTTTTCCATCGTGGTCTAGCTTCAATTGAGTAATGATCTCAAATATTAAAAATTTGAAAAGTAGATCCAATCTCTCTTGAATGATATCATGCAAAATGACCGCAATACTATCTCTATATGTGAGCACTGAAATCAGTCAGAGTACTTGTCACATTTGCTAAGTTTGGGAAAGTTCTTTAAATTCAGTTGTATAATTCGAGATAGGTACTGATTGTTTAGCAACAAATGAGTATAGAGTTTTGCTTAAATCATAGAATTTTCATTCGAAATTTACAGAACACAGGGGACAAATAAGTGGATGATTGAGAAGGGTAATCCATGTTGATTCTGATATTATACAGACAAATAGCTTGTTAGCTATTTCTGTATCATTTTAATTGTGTTTGTTATATTGAGTTCATAAACATTTATTGTTATTTTACAAATGAACCTTGATTCGATCTATGAATATGAACCGATTTAAGCAATTCAAACTTAATTTATCTGTGAAAATGTGATCAAACTTCATTACATAATATACATAAACAAAATATTCACTATAAATTCATGTAATGATTGAGGCTATTTTGAATCCAACTCGAAATTGAGATCAGTTCGGTCAACGTCATTACAGGTAAGCTTCAGTTATCATTGTGAAGTTTATTTCCAAATCATAGTTGATTCTCAATTGTCTTACAGTGAATATGTAATCAACTAAATATAACTAGTCAAACAAAACAATATTAAATTTCAAGTAAACTTCAGTTTGAGGAAATCTGCTTGTAAATGATATATTAGCTTCAATTATACTCCGATGCCTAACTAAAATTCGTCAAGAGTAGACTAGAGGAAATCAGTCTGGATTTCGACGTGGACGTGGCTGTATAGACCAGATATTCACATTATGTTATGTCTTAGAATATAGACACACATTCAGACACCACACAATCGTAGTATTTGTCGACCTCAAGGTGGCATTGAAGTGCTGCGTGGTGTCGAGTTGAGCTTGACTATGAACACCGCTACAGGAAGACTACGTGCCAGTAACCAATAAGATATCCGTAGGCAAATGTCAGAAGGCAGATGATCGCTGTAGTCGAGATTTATTTGCTGGCGATCTCTTGGTATCGAAAGAATATCAAGATCGTGCCAAAGTGGTACAAATGCGATCGGCAAGGAAAGATACGTGCGTGTTCACAAACCGCGCAGATGTAATGGAGTACAATGGAATAACAATATGGCTGTTATTAGCACAATTAAACAAACGAGCACAATAAAACAATCGCTGGTACAATTGGTTATAATAATAATATAATAATAATTGTTTTCATCGAACCAATCACGTTCTGTTGACAAAAGTAGGTCACTACAGAAGTGTTACATTATCATCCGTAGTAATTTGTTACTAATGCTTGTCAAAATAAAACACTGATTCGAAAGGTTTTCAAAAAAATTCTTCTATTGGTTTACATGTCTATCTGCATAACTAGACTATCGGTTGAATAGTGTATAATATCATGCTAAGTATACAAACGATGATTATTAGCAGCCTGTGGAAGGGTTAAAGAGAAAAGCTCACCTCCCCCACACACAGAAAAATAATAATCACTTCAAGTCAATGTTCTGATGAATTCATCTTTTCAGTGATACGACTTAATATTAGTAAGTAAAGTTTTGATTATTTCAAGTAGAATGATTAGCAGAAATAATGAATATTAGTAGTTTTCATTTCCATGAATGTTCCACACAGAGGGAGAGAGGAATAGTGAAGTTTTCCTCTAATCACCCTATCGCATGTTTCCAAATGTTTGTATATTCAATGATAGTTGACCAGAGACAATGACGCATAAACTAGTATGAAAAGTCCACAGTCAATTCTGAGTTCGTATTAGTCCATCGAATTAATACTCAGTTTAGTCTAGGATACCAATATCACCTTCCGCGATATGAATCAAACTTCATCATATCCGAAAATATTTATACAAGATCAAGACTGTAACAAAGCGATTGAGGATAACTTGGGAATAGTAAATCGTTTAATAATAGCAAATAAGTCAAATGGAAGCCTATTATAAAATGAATATGAGTATACATATAATATTAGTTACTTCAAATGTGGACAGTCTACGACTGAACTCAAGAAAGCCCAAGAAGCTCAGAAAGAGTCGAAGATATCTCATTCAATCCTTTTTTGAAAGAACATTTCAGAATCCCTTCGTGTAACTTCCCTATTGGACGAATGCTAATAACCCTCTGTATGTGGATTAGAGGACTAAAACGATGATTTCATTTTCACTGAAATGTATAAATACTTGACAATTTTGTACCATAATTTACACTATTTCGAATATCGTTCCTTTCATTTGTCTTCTGTCTTCACATTTGCGACTTTCGGTGGTCCAAGCGTTCAACTGCTCAAGTTATCAGTAGCATATTAAGAATCTAAGCTCTATATATAATACTTAACAGTTAATTTAGGTTGTCATATTTTTGTATATACTCACATTGAAGTTAATTATTGATGATCCCTTATAATGTACATTGAGAATACCTAATTCAGACAAGTGTGAGTAATGTGTTGATGACACGATAGTTCAAACTTCTATTGAGAAATCATAATTCATTTGACTGAATTTCTGAATGTAGCTTCTATTCAATTGAACAGACATAATATCAGTATGGAGTCGCAGAGATTAAGCATTCTCATGTGTGACCGAAATTCCTATGTTTGAATCTCGCGAGCACGATCGTGTTTGTGTACTATTGAAGTGTCTCACAATATGGCGAAACGACCATCCAGTGCTTCCATGTTTTCAATGTTTGTCTCGCGTCGATGGATTCATGATCACAATCAAAGACATATTATCCAATGAATCAATTCGTTATTCTGGTCACCACTTATATCATTACACTGGTTCATTTACGATTTTATTTGAATAGTATTGTAATTCTTAGTTTCAGAACAACTTATTAAAATCTGAATCTGATAATCATGCAGTAAATAATTCATTTGCATTATGTCAACCAATTGCCTCAAACTTCATTGTTTTTTCGTTTTCACACCAATCATTCTCTAATCTCGTCATCTTCTCTTCAATCTTCTTAACTTTCTGTAGCCTGGAATTAAACTTTTGATTGATGACACATACTATTTATATCTGTCA